GAGTACTCCGACAGGACCTAACTACAGGTTGGGAATTTCAGATTTTTAAAAACTAATAATAATTTAGGTTTTCTGAAAAATTTTGAAAAAATCACAAAAAAGTCTTATCTCGAAAACTACAAAGAATTGAGCAGTCATATTTGGAGGCAAGATTGGCAATACTTGAGAGTACTCTGACAGGACCTAACTACAGGGTTGGGAATTTCAGATTTTTAAAGAAAAAAAAATAATTCAAGTTTTCTGAAAATTTTGAAAAAATCGCAAAAAACGTCATATCTCGAAAACTACAAAGATTTGAACAGTCATATTTGGAGGCAAGATTTGTAACTCCTTAGAGTACTCCGACAGGACCTAACTACAGGGTTGTGAATTTCAAATTTTTCAAACTTAATAATAATTTAAGTTTTCAGAAAAATTTTGAAAAAAATCATAAAACGTCATATCTCGAAAACTACACTTGAGCAGTCATATTTGGAGGCAAGATTCGCAATCTTAGAGATTACTCTGACAGGACCCAACTACAGGGTTGGGAATTTCGGATTTTGCGAAAAAAAAATTAGTATAAGTTTTCTGCAATTTTTTTGAAAAAGTCACAAAAAACGTCATATCTCGAAAAATACAAGGATTTGAACAGTCATATTTGGAGGCAAGATTTGTAACTCCTTAGAGTACTCCGACAGCACCCAACTACAGGGTTGGGAACTTCAAGTTTTGTAAATTATTTTGTTATTTGAAATTTCTGAAAATTTTTGAAAAAATCTCAAAAATCGTCTTATCTCGTTAACTAAAATGATTCGGGCATTCAAAATTGGAGGCCAAATTCGCAACCCCTAATTCGATATTGGGCTGCTTAACTTAAACTCGGTAAAATAACCACTAAAATCAAAATGGAAAATCGAAAAAAATCTTAACCATTGCAATATACGATATAACTTAAACATGCAAAAATAATACGTTGAAAAAGCTTGAACATGGCGAGATAGTGAAGCCCGCATTTAAATATATAATAGATAGATTAGTTTTCAAAATTAATGTACACTAGCAAGTCCGCTTACCTATGAAAGTTTTGATGTTTATTTGATAAAAAAAAGTCAACAAGCTTTGACTTGAAGTATTTTGTTTTAATTTGAAAGCTGGAACAGTTTTGCAAGTGTTTTTTCCAATACTCCAAGTTTTAATCAAAGATTCCAATGGTTTGCAGAAATCTCAGTTTTTATGAAGTAAACTATTATGCCATAAAACATTGAAATTTTTAACATTGAAAGTAGTTTCAGTGGCTCTTATGGCTCGAAGTTCTTCAAAAAAATAAGTTTCAATTGAACTAAGTTCTGAAAGCTTGCATTCGTTTGCAAAGAAATCAAGTTTCCTAAAACAAGCTGTTTAATCAAATCAACTTAGATATATTTCATTTTATTTCAGCCTCTGAATCAAAACGAAATATAGTTGAAGGTTTCTGAAGCAAGCTATCAAGTTGTAAGAGTTTAAAGTTGTTTTGCCTGAATGCGTCGTAAGAAATTGATTCGAAAAATTCAGACTTCTTAACGCAAGCTGTCAAGGTATGAAATTAAGAAAAAAAATACCTTTGTTTTGATAGCTAAAATTTGTTCACAAGAAGAAAGAACGTTTGAAACCTGGACACATTTCTAGTTGTTTCAAGCGCTGAAAATTGGATTAAATTCAATGCAATTTATGTTGGAGTCTTGAAATGATTCACTTGAAGGTGACGCAGCTATCATGCACTGCAACTGAAACAATTTGTTTTGAGTGATTAAATTAGCGCTCAATGATAGCTTAAATTGATTTGAATTATTTGTCAATTGAGTAAATCATGGAAAATTTGATTTGATTCTATAAATTAAAACTTTTGGAAGAAGCTATGAAGCAAAGAAATTTAGAAATCAATCCATTTCTTTTGATGGTTCAAACTGTTTCGCAAAATTTTTTTGAAGCCCTCTATCAAAAACAAAACAAACTCATTTTACTTTGTTTTAATAGCTCGAATTGGCTATTAAAAAATGAGTTTCTGATGCAAGCTATAAGAAGAATGAATTTTGATACTTTTGCAACCCTTAAAGTACACTTAAATAACCCATCTACAACATTTGTAATTATTTTTTTACTTAAAGTTTTACGAAAAATTTATAAGCAATAAAAAAAATCTTCATATTTCGAAAACTAAAAGGATTTGGGTGTTCAAAATTGAAGGCCTAATTCGGAACCCCTGGGGTAACCCCGGCAGCATCCCACTTTTGGATTGCTAATATCAAAATTGATGAAATAATCCTTGATATCAAACAAGAAAATCGAAAAAAAATTCATAACCATTGCAATGTACGATATAGCTTTAAAGTGAAAAAAATTCTTTCGTTAAACATGCAAAAACAAAATGTTGAAAAAGCTTAAGCATGGCTAGATGGTGAAGCCCGCATTTAAATATATAATACATTAGTTAAAACAAGAGACACCACTCGGTCATTTCTAACATTTTTGGTCATAATTAGTTTGCTTCAATTACTCTAGCTTACTTGTCGGTACAATTGACATCATTTAAGCAAAAAAATGATTTTCTGACACTTTCTACAAAAGCGATTCTGTTCATTTACTTGAAACTATCTACAGCAACTGTACCGACCCTCTTTCTAATATATAAAAAATTATAGACCTACACGCTGTGTTTTCAGTTTTAGGGGTTATTAAATATTTCTGTAGGCTATAATGGGAAAATCAGGCAGTAGTTATAGATAAAAGTTCGAAATAATCAATCGAAATCGGCGCTGGTCATTCACAACTAGAAATTGAAAATGTTTATCTGAACTTCAAGAAGATCTGTCAAGATTAAAAAAAAACTTGATATTAAAAAATCTTCTAGCAAGACCAATTAACTTGAGAACTTTTGGTTTTAACTCGAGTTGCTTTGAACGCTTGAGTTGATTCGCAAAAAAAAAGAGTGTCAAAAAACTCAAATTTAGAATATTTCAATTTGTTCAGCACTCTTGCGTTCGTTTGCCAAAAAACTTAAGTTTCTTACGCAAGCTATTTAAGCCATGTTTTTTAAAATTTGTTCTGAATCCCTAAATTGGTAGACAAAAATTGGAAGTTTTCTGAAGCCAGCTACTAAGCTTTGCATCTGAAAATTTTCTTGTTTACTGGCATGCATGGGATCGCCAAAAAATAAGTTAGAAAAAAACACAATTTTTTTCACTGCAAACAATCAATTTACACAGAGGCGAAGTTGCACTTCGCATACACAAGCAAAAATATGACCGATAATGCTACTGGGAAAAACGATATGAGTAAAAAAATTGAGTCTACAGAACGCACGCCAACTATGAGTCTACATTATAGCTAAGTGACGCAAGCCAATTATGACACATTAGCAGTACCCGTCAATTTGAAAAAAAAATTACAACTAGCATGCCTCAAATTATAGAGCCGACCCATTTTAACTAGTATACGACAAATTTCATTAAAAGCATCCGAAACTGCCCAGGTTTGAACCCTCTCATTTTGTTGCGGGTCTCCTTCCCTACCTCTACGCTACAGATCCATGATACCTTGAAGCTAAAGTGCTACTTGTAATATAATAGTCTGTGTTAATATCCTTAGCATTGGCTGTACTTAACAGCTGGTTATTGATCAAAATTAACACTTTCAAAATGAACACAAATATTTGGGACTTAGGTTGGAAAAAAACAGAGTTCATACTATAACACAAGTTTTGGTTGTGTAATGAAACTTTGAAACGTCAAGTTGTTTTGATTGCCTGATTTTGTTTTGCATAAAATTAAAATTATTTGAAGGAATTTATTCAGTCGATGAAAACTTGAAACAATTGGAATTGTATTAACAGCTTCAACAAGATCGCAAAATGTTTAAATTAAAAAAAAAACTTAACTGTTCCGAAATAATGTTTTTTTTTAACGCCAGTTATCGATGGATTGAACTTAGGGAAATTTTCAGTTGTTTTGTTAGTTTTTATGGTTCATACAGGTATTCATGATACATCCTTTTAATGGTTCATAAGTATTCAGGTCACCAATGAACTCGTGGAGTGGATACCGTCCACTTGTATCCACTTTTCCCAAAGTGGATACAACTCGACACCGTAAAACAAACAATCTTTTGGCGGCGGTTCTAATCCCTGCCTGCTCAAGTTTTTTAGGAAAAAGTAAAAGGTTACGAGTGAGTGATGAACTGTTAAACATTGCTGACAGCATGAGTTACAAATAAATAATAGACGGCGAGTGGTGAGATTTTAGGGTTGATCTAATATAGAACCTAATAAAAAATATCAACTAACTTCCTCTCTTTTGCAACTACGATAGTACTTCATTCGATTAAAGAGCTTAGAACTTTATCTAAGCTTTCAAAATATCTTTAAAAGATCCGCAGTGTCAGAAACTGCAGATACGTTTTCAAAATCTGTATATATAAGCCGTGACATTCTTTCATTTGCCTGTAGGTTTGTATAGCGAAGATGTAGCCTTACTGTTCAAGTTAATAAAAATGAAAATTTGCGTAATTGTGGGAGGAAATTGAAGGGATAGTAGCTCTTTTTTCAAAACAGGTCGAAGGGTTCGAAAAGACTGAATTATCGGTGAATTTCTATTCCGCACAACATTTATATCAACCGAAATCAGGAAAAACTGGAAAAAAAATGAATCTCCCTCACAAAGAACCTAAATTGGGTCTTGCTACTTATTCCGCTCAAAGGAAATTAACAGCGCGTCCTTTACTTATTGATCAACGTCTTGTTTATATTGTGTTTTTAGCAACCGAGTTATTATCAATCAAGATTTTTAGCAACCCAGTTATTTAAAAACCCTTAGTTTTTTCTTTTAACCCACTTACTTTCATCAATATTTTAGCAGTTTATTTTAATCATATTTAAGCACTAAAAGTTCTCTTTCTATATTTTGACACTTGATAGTTGGGAAGCAATGGATAAGAAGAACCCGACCGAATTTGCCCAGATCTAAATGTAGCCCCCAGTTCAGTACCTGAGAGGCTGCGTCGACTGCGAACTCCACACACTGTTCCAGCCACTCGACCGAGGGTATTTTGACAGAGTACTTATTCAACAAAAGCTCCTTCACACTCTCAACCATTGATGACGTCATCATGCAAGTCTGGAAACGTAACCATCATCAGAACTTTGATTTAGATGAAGCAACGTTTTCCACCTACCTTAAACTTACCTTTTTCATCTACCGTAAGTAAATGTTTTTACTTAAGCATGCCTTTGCGTCCTCTAATGGTTATCTCCCTATTTTTATATGAATAAATCAATAAGTCAACAAAATACCCCTTCACTGTTAAGTTGAGCTTCTCTTTGTTTAAACAAAGCCCAAAACTTAGACGTTATTTTTAACAGTTGCCATACAGAAAGCCAACGAATCATTTAAAAATGACAAAACGCCAAAAAAAACAACACCCGCAATTTTCAAATGTTTATCTCAAAATGAAAGTCATTTTGATGAAAACCTGTGGCGGAACACAACAGTCAGTAGTGAGTTAGCTTGAAAAACTTCGAATTGCGCTATAAAATAGTGAATCGAAAAAAAACAGTATTCAAAAAAAATCTGAAAATTAGGTTGAAAAAATTACTTGCAAAAAATAACTTGAAAAAATTTGGAAAATGCAGCTACAAAAACTTTGTTTTTGTATTATGATTTTATCGGATGAAGCTCATAAACAGCCTTAAGACAATTCGAAATCATTCACCGAGGGGCAACAAACTTTGGGTCGAAACCTGTTGAGCCGAAAACAAAGCTATTGTCAAAACATTTCAAAAAGTTTTACAAGTTTTACAACCCATCGATACTGAAACACATAATCCTATACGAAAATATTTTGCATTCAAAATTACGCATCATAAATTGACTGATCCGAAATAGCATAAACCGTTCAAAAATTTAAAGAAAAAAAATGCAAAATCAGACTCGGTAAATTTACAAAATACTGTACATTCCGTTATAGTAAAAAACTTGTAATATTGGAAAAAAAACCCAAGCTTCTGAAAGTAAGCCAATAACAACCCTGTCAGATAAAAATGGCGTTTAAAAAGCGGAAAATGAGCCGACAAAAACTAAGACGAAAACCACAAACCCAAAAAAAATTGAAACAATCTTTGCTTAATTACTACTTAAATGATGGTAGTTTTATTTCAATTTCATGAATTTGAGCATGTCAGATGGGATATTTTTCATTCCTACTAAAATGACTATGCTGTGAACTAAGTTATTTAAGGGTAAGTTATAATACTTTTGGGTAAGAAAAAAACAAAGCTTGGCAAACACTTGCGAGAACACGACAAAAGCAGCTCTATCAAGTTAAATAAAAAAAAGTAAAATAAGCCTCGAATTAGCAAAAACTCGGCTACCTGTAGGATTCGAATCTGCGACTTAATGCAATCAAGAGATTTTAAGTCTCACGCACTATACCCTCAGCTATTCAAGCTTAACAAGCGACAAACACTAGTCACGAATAAAGCAGCTACATATGCTAACAAATTGCCAATGCGATTCAGCACCAAATACAAATAGAATCACTTTTGCAATTAATAATTTGGAATAAAACTAACTGAAGGCATCCACACTGACTTTGCATGTAAAAAATCGCAAAGCATAAAGCCACATTATGTATAAATTATGCATTTCAAAAAGCTGCAAGATATATTGAGTTAGAAAATGTCTGAAATCGAGTTTTTATTATTGTGATGTTGTTTGAAACAAATAGCTTTTTTCGGTTCATTTGATGAATTAAATGCAGTCAAAAAGCTGTAAAAGTGCCTTACCATTTGGGATGCCGCACCAATATTTGCGACTTAGGTTGGAAAAAAAAGGTTCTTACTAATACACTAGCTTCGCAAGTGTAAGCAAGTTTTCACTCTCGTTTTTACTGAAAACAAAGATTTTTTAAAACAATATCGCAATGATCAAGAAATCATATTTCTTGCAGAAAAGCTCACCCACTATCAAACATTATTTGCATTCCGACCCAAAAGTCGACCTATCTTAACAAACCTTTTTCATATGGACCCGATGCAAGCGCACACAATTCCGGTCTGAATACAACCGGTTTATAGAAGTTTACCTGGCTGCTTGTACATCACCATTTCACCCGTTTTGTCCGATGTTTTAATCGCACCAATCGCAGCTTTTTACTGCCTTAAGAACCCACTTTTTACTGCCTTAAGAATCCCTCCCTACCTTAATCACAGACTTGTGACCATGGGCGGTAAAATTATAACGTCCCTAGGCCTATAGACAGACGAGTCTAATCCGAACAACGTCTGCTAATGAAAAAGAAACCATCATAACTAACAGTCAGACTGTAACTGGGCATTTGCATTCCATTTTGTGGAACCGAAAAAAAACGCAAACCTAAATAAGCTTTTCTATAAGCCAACAGTAAGTTAAAGCAACTGAGAAAAACTTACTTTTGACTGCCGCAGAAGACTTTGAACAACATGGTGGTTGGTTTATTATTAAGGTAGTTTCTATAACACCAAATTATACGACAAAACAAGTGGTTTTCATGTCCATAATAACATCATATCGACAAAACACGGAATCCAAACAACTAAGTTTGTTTCGGTGCGGTGACGATTTGAAATTGCTGGAAAATTTTCTACTATGAAACTCGAATGGTAATCGCTTCAATATAGAAAATATAGAAAATCAACCGTAGTCTCCGCGCTGAAGTGACCGACCGCAGAATATCCCCCAAGCCACGTGTTATTTTTGAAAACTAATTCTGTACACAGAGGCGAAGCTGAGCTTCGCACCACTTGCGATACAACTAGATCTAAGAAATGAATGAAGATAGTTGTAACAAAAACATGCCCAAACAATAGGATGCAAACGAGCATCGGAACAAAATGAACCAAGCGGTGACAAAGCCGAAAATATCTGAGCAGAAAATCCTCAAGCTGAATTTTTTTAATTCAAAACTAATTGAAAAATTTTACGTCCACCTTCCCCTCATAACACACAGAGGCACACAAAAAAATTTTCGCGCATCAAACGACGCACAAAGATGGATATAAAAATCATCCGTATAATTTCCGCCCTAGATGACCAACCGTAGAATGTCACCCTTAGCCACGTATTGATTTTGAAAACCAATTCTGTATAAAGAATCCATTCTGTAGATAGTTTTGAAAATAAGGATCAACCATACAATCTCCACCCTAAGTGACCAACCGTAGATTGTTCTCCCCAGCCATATTTAAAAAAAAATTAATTCTGTATAAAGTACGCAATTTGAACAAACGCACAAATAAAATTGGTTTTCAAAATTTCCATGAATTTGAATGCTAGTAATTAATTTAACTTATGTGTTTTAAATCAATTTTCTCTAATATAACTGTTAAGTTTCAATAAATCTAGGTCATATTTAAATTTGTATCCCAAAAATCCATACTTTCTCCCCCCATAAACGATTTGGGGGGATTTTGTATGGTTGATCCGGAAATGATGTTATATCATAAAGATTAATGCATAATCTGAGCTATGAAATCGCATCACCTTACTTTAAATTACAAAAGTTGTGCATTTAATTCCTTACTGCGTATCTTTAATTTAAAAAGAATGCTCGTATCAGGGCAAAGCACTGAATGTTCCGACTGTCCACAAAGTCGTCTCGAATAATTTTTGGTTAAGGACATATTGATAAACAATAAATTTTAAGCTGAATATTGACAATCGCGTATGGAATTGATCAGACCAATTAGCCTGCCTCTATTGAATTTGGAACAATTTTGTGGTGTGGGATAATTCTCCACGCGTAAATAATGCGCACTTAACTTTCAGCATCAAAATATCACAGCTCTCTTCAAAGTGTCAGGTTTGTCTAATACTGAGCGTTTCACAGTCAGCTTTAAAAGAGGATAGTCTAGTGGCGAGCGCGCTCTTTCTGGGACTACGAAGATTCAGGGATCGATCCTTCGAGAGAAAAACTTTTGAGAATGGGTCTGACTAAAAAAACCACCCCGATCAAATATATTCTTTTCTTTATCATTATTTCATCATTATTTGCACTTGTTTGCTCCACTTTGCAAATTTTAAAATTATATTTTACATGGATGTTTTTCGGCATTGTTTTGAATGTATAGTTAGTTTTTAACTATAATTCAACACTTGCTTCAGAAATCGTTCATTTGATCAAAACGATTTTACAACTAACGTGAGCAAGACAGTTTCTTGAAATGATTCTTGAAAACTTAAGTGGTAAAATGAACCGAGAAAACATATGCAACAGAATATTGATAAAAGGTCGAAAAACATGAAACCATATTCTTCTACGATTCATACTTTTTAAAATAAAACGGAATTTTAGCAACTTGGGGTCATATGTAATTTTTTCATCCGCTTAAAATTCTGAAAAACGAATTCTTTTTTGAAACTAAAAGCCGATCAAATTTTCTCGCATCAATTCTATTTTCCTAATTGAGAAGCATAACTTTCCTTTCTTTCCGAAAAATGAACTTGTATTAAGCTCAAATTGCGGGAAAAACGGCATTACAAATTTTACTCAAAGAGGCGTTCACTTATGACTAGCCTCAAACAAGAGCACTCATTGAGACCAAAAATTTCGACTCAGATTTAGTAACATCAACGCCAAAGGCCCCTTGAGTTTGTAGAGCCAATGTTGCAAAAAGGGGTACGGCTTAATATTAGCAAAAGCTGCAAGTATATCAAATAGTTAAGAAAATACCCATATGCCGGGAAAATTGACCCATAGGTACGAAAACAATTTCATCGAAATGGAAAAAATTCATCAGATGAAAAAAGAATTTCACTAAGGTGTAAACAGAAAGATGTATTGTCCAATCAAACTTAGCTTTTAAAAGATCAACTAACTTTATTTTGAAAAAAAAGACAGAAAGTTTCAAGTGTTATCTTTTCAAGTCTGGGTCTCCTGATTCAATATCAGGCACAGGTTTATCACCATAATTGAAAATCAAAAGAAAATGAGAAAGGCCAAATTAATCAAGATAATTAACCTTTTCAGATAAAAAAGATTTTTTAAATTCAACTCAACGCATCTCAAATAAATAATCCCAGTAACTAAAATAGTGATGAGGTTGTTTCATCATCACCAAATAACTACCCATCAAAAATCGTATCTAAGATGATAATTTGGGAACAAAATGAAAAAATCTATAAAAAATTTCATACTACGAAACATATCAAGTTTGTGTAGAATTTTATTAAATTTGCGTACAAAGAAACTACCATAACAAATTATGCACCAAATTAAGACTTTGACAATAGTGTTTTGAAGATGAGCGTAGAAAAGTTGGGTTATGAAGAAATTCTAAACATTATTTATTAGAACTTAAAACAGTCACTTTGATAAAAATGTTCTAGCCTGGTCGACAAGGCCGAAGAAGCAGCTGAGCTAAAAAAGCATCAAACAAAGTGTTTTCAGTCAAAAAGTGCCTATTATATTTAAAAATAAGTCAATATAATGGCAAAGTTAGTACAGTCTTACAATAACTGAATGATTAAAATCAAACAAAGCAAAAAACCCTTGCAGGCGGTGCTAAAAATTTGTACCCGGTTGCAATAGATTTTATATAAAATAAGTTGCAACCAAAAATGTCATCCGAAGCGGGATATTTTCAACAAAGGATGTTTTTTGATTTTTGTTTAGATGACGTAAAACTTTTCTAGATCACAATCTTAATAAATCTTTTGTAAAACAAAAAAGACAAGGAGCCCATTTTCCGGAAAAACTAGACATAGTAATTTGAAAAATGAGACGGGACCATTTTAAGAAGGAACGTCGAAAATTTTCACACTTCCGTTCTCAGGACTTTTGTGACTTATCCTCAGAATGGGCAGGGGAGAACTTTCTTTAAAATGGGATTCCGAATTTGGGCAAGGGGGTTTGGGGGCCAATCCTTTTCAACCAATCTTGTGAATAGAGGGAATTTTCCTAGTTCGTGATTAAGTACTTTCTGAGGCCGCATGCGGAATAACCATTTTTCAACGATTATGCAAACTTCCATTCTGGCAACTCAATTTATATATCGAATAAAATATACAGAATATACACTAATCATTGCAAAAAAGACATTTTTAACTTGCTTTCCGCTAGACAATGAGAGAAATTTTGTGCATTAGAAACAGTCACAACAAGCAGCGCTTTCATGCGATCCCACAATTACTTATATAACTTAATTTGGCCTATAAAATGTGAGAAAACGACCCACCCTTGGCAATTGCTCAAAGGGGCTAATATCACGCGCGAAGGACCGAATGCGCTCAAAATATCAATCAATCAACGAACTGCAAACTGTCAAAAACTGACTGATTTTATCGCCTAAATTCTGCGAATACTGAGCTGATTTGTTGTCAAAATTTTCGCCAATTAGCTCCAGCTGTCGAAAACGAGCCCTCGAAACATGTTTCCGAAATTTATGTAGATGTGGTCGAAAAAAATTCCGGGAAATGCCGAATCTAATTCCAAATTTTCAGAAAATTCGAAACTCTCTATGAATCTATCGCCAAAAATAGCTACCTGGGATACCGCAAATAATGTCAGACATTTTTTTTTTTCATTTCGTGGCGCAAAACTTTAGCCAAAAAGCAGTCTTGTCTCGAAAAAAAAACAGATTCTGGGCAGTTTTTATACCAACCAGGTTTTTAATAGAAAAGCTACCGATTGCGATAGCTTCAGAACTGCGCCAGAGCCATTTGCTGAAAACTATACGATGTTTGGTTTATTGGAAAACAAAAAAAAAATCCTTTCGTTTTGCTTTTCTTTCAAGTCTAAAGAACCTTGCATATTCATTTTAAATATTCGGGCAATGCCATGCAAAAAAATTGGAAAATAACTTTCCACATTTTTTTGACTGATTACGATATGGATTTACTGCAGCAGTTTGCGAAGCTCAGCCTTTGGGCTGTCCTTTTTTTCTACTGTTAAGCGGTTTTCAAAAAAGTTCAAAGTTTCATTTAGCAACTGAATATGAGCATACAAAAAATGGCGAAGAAATTCAACGATTGTTTACTTTGTCGTATAGCCTATCAGCCCGGTCAGAATAATTAACACGCACATCAATTGAAATTTATGATGGTTTTGAATATTTCAAAAAAAAACTTGGCTCAATTGACCATATCCATTAAATGAGGAATTTTAATGATAAGCCAGCCACCAATTGTGAAAATGGGCATAACATCTGGAACAAAAACAAAAAAATTGGGCGACTTTATCCGAATTTTTGGGTTTTGATCCAAAAACCTAAGCGAGAAGAATAAAACCGAAGCGGGAGCGAATACTGCATTGAAGCAATCTTGAAATTAAAGCAATCTTAGTATAGATGCATTAAAAACAATAGTTCACGCTTTCTGATGAGTATTTTCAATTTTCGGAACTTTTGAACAAAAAAAATCGGCACTATTGAACAATTTTTTCATTTTCGGCATTGTTGAACTCTTTTTTTTTGACAGTGTTGTACTTCGGCACTGTTGAACTGCTCCTGTGCAATCACATTAGGATAATGTTGTATATAATTGATGATCTGATCAATCCAAATAAACGCCAAATTTAACAAACAGAGGCGAGAACACGACCAAAAAGCAGCTCTATCAAGTTAAATAAGAAAAAGTAGAAATAAGCCTCGAATTAGCAAAAACTGTGTAGGTTTCGAATCTGCGACCTTCTGTAATCAAGAGATTTTGAGTCTCACGCACTATCCCCTCAGCCACTCGAGGTTAACAACCGACAAACACTAGTCACGAATAAAGCAGCTACATATGCTACCAAATTGCCAATGCGATTCAGCACCAAATACAAATAGACTCAATTTTGCTATTAATAGTTTGGAATATGACAAATTGAAGACATCCACACTAACTTTGCAGGTAACAAATCGCAAAGGATAAAGCCACATTATAAATATATTATGCATTTCAAAACCGCGAGATCAACATAAGCGGGAAAAGTTAGCGCTTCATACGAGATCAACTTGAATCAACTTCAAGGCAAGATATTACCCGCCAAAATCTCACCTGACCTTGTTCCCTAATTTTCTAAAAACGAGCAAACAATACAACAACGTTCTTCCTTTTACTCTGCAAGAGCAAAAATCTAGCTTTCACGCTTCGCAATTTTAATCTGCGAATACTGAGCTCTGATTTGTTGTCAAAATTTTCGCCAATTAGCTCCAGCTGTCGAAAACGAGCCCTCAAAACATGTTTCCGAAATTTATGTAACGAGCAAACAATAAAACTAAAACGAGCAAACAATACAACAACGTTCTTCCTTTTACTCTACAAGAGCAAAAATCTAGCTTTCACGCTTCGCAATTTTATGAGATAAGGCTATTGAGTCGAACTTCGAGTTTCGCTGCTCGAAAACTTTCCAGTTTTTGTGAACTAATTATCGCTATAAAAACAAAGTGAAATATTTCAAAATTTGATCGATTGATAAGCTTGGCTAAAACCTCTATTTTTGGGAACCGATTCAAGCTTTAAAAAAGAATCGAATTATTTAAAAGTTTTATCAATGTTTTGCAAACTGATGAAAGTTTTATTATTGATTTGCAAACTGATTCAAGCTATGAACAATTTAATTGCTTGATGAGATTCCTTATGAAAACTATTTTTTTTAAATTATTGAAGCCATGAAAACAAAAATCAAAGTTTTTAGCATGATCAGTTAGTTTTAAAAAGCTTGAAGAATGTGTCTAAGCCAATTCACCCGATGAAAACAAACGTAAAAATTCAATGTAACGCGATATTGTTCATAACATTTTTACAACTTCATCAACCAATTCAAACTACCCAAACAATTTTATTTTTGTTTTAAAATTTCATCGCTTGATAGTTGGTTGACAACATTTTTCTCAAACAAAAAACATTCTATCAAAACTTAAATGCAATTTTGGACGCAACAACTTTAAATAGCTAGAAAACCCTTATTTTTTCAGCCATAAAAATCTACCAAAACTTTCATTTAAAAAAAAAAACATTCATACAAGGAATGAAAATGGAAATTTGAGCTTGAGCGTGAAATCGATCAAATTAAAACTTTCTGTTAGAAACATCTGAAAATTTTTCAAAGATTTTTTCATCGCTGGATAGCTAGTTTGAAAATATGCAGTTCTCGCAAACTAATTTACAAAATCAAAAATGATATTTTTTTTCCAAAATTCATCGCTCGATAGCTTGCTTGCATCTAAAGTGACTTGAATCAAATCAGGGTTTAATCTTCCAAAGATTAAAAGATTTTCTACATGCAAGTTTTCATATTAAGAAAAATGAAAACTTGCAAATCAAATTGAGTTGATTAAACAACAGTTGAAAGAGCTTGCAAGCTAGTAGAAAATGTGATAACCAGCAGCAGAAACAATTTATTAGCGGTCAAGCACGTCTTTAACGATAGCGCGTTAATGTGCATGAACAGTCCTCAAATCCAGAGCTTTTCGAAACTTTCGGTTAGATTAACTATTAAATGTTTTAAAAAATCAACATTTCTGTTATCTATACTGATTTTAGTAAAAACCATTTAGAGGTTTTGTTAAATCTCTTATTTTATTCTAAGTTATTCCACATAACTTTTATCTACGGTTTAAATTTTTCTATAATACAATTTCAGTCGTACAGTTAAAATCTTTTCCAGAAGGCAAAACTAAAAATGGGACATTTTTCTTCTGCACAAATGTGATTAATACCTCGAAGCGAGGTCATATCGAAAACATTTCACTAATAATGATTGCGCAGAAAAATTTATCTCAGAAAAAAGTTTACAAAATGCGACAGAAATCACCAGAAAAAGCAAACATTGCAGATTAAAATTTTGTGTCAAAATTTAGATTAAAATATGAGATATAAAAGAACTCGAAATGCTTATTTGTCACAAAAACAAGGCGGGAAAATTTCAAATACGACATAAAGCAAAGATTATATGCGACCCCTATGATAGTTAAGTACTTGGATCACTTCTTCTTAAACGAAGCTAACAGAAGGGTTTAAAATAAATTAATTCAAATCTCATCGTTCGATTATGAAACGACAATTACAATATCATCCAAATATACTCGTTCGATTACGAAACGACAATAACAATATCATCCAAATATACGCTTAATCGTTCTTTTAGTCTCATTAAAAATCACTTTTCTGATTTTCTTTTATAGATCAAAAATCGGTAATTCAAATTGTTCTCGTTGTGCTCTTCACTTTCTCTGATCTTTTCGAAACAATTATTGTCGATTTCTGGAAAAAACACATCACACGCAAACTCCGCGTCTATTCTTGTGAAGTAAATATACTCAATAAGTGGCAACTTCATAGCTTCTTGATAAATGCCATTACCGCCTATCACCCATGTTTTATCAATTTTCCCGTTCTTTGCGATTCGCTCTAGAGCTTCACTGAAGCTTTTAACGACAACGATTTGGTCCGTAGAATGCTCTTTAAAATCATCTTGAGTCAATGTATTCGAAACTATCAAATTCCATCTATTTTTCAGAGGTTTGAATCTATCCGGAATCGACTCATAAGTTTTGCGTCCCATGATGACTGCGTTTCGTTCACATGTATTTAGGAGTTCTTCACGACGTTCTTGTGTCACTTCCCGGAAGTACCTCATTTCAGCTGGCAGGAACCAGGGCAGGCGACCTTGATTTCCAATCCCATTTCCTTTGCACGCTGCAACGATGATGTTCAATTTCGGCAGCGCCATGGTATCTACAAAAGAAACTTGTGAAAATCGCGTTAGGGAGAGTAAAAAATAAATAATTTGGATCTTCCTAGCTTTCCACGAGTGTGGTCCATTTACGAATATTAAATAATGAGTCCCCATTTTGCAAAAACATCATCGTTCATTAAATCCGAAGAAATCATTAAAAATATTTCGAAGTTTCGTTTTTTGGACAGGCAGTACTGGATCCTTGTTCACGTTTAATATCTGGCTCCCAAAAATTTCCCGCATCCCAATCAAAACCTCATTTCCTGCTCAGGGCGGATATAGGAAATTTCATTTTTTTTTTCAAAATTATATATTCGGCTGGATGTCGTAAAAAGTGCCAAAAAGGGGACCTTTAGGTAATGGAGGGGGGGGGGGGGGGGGAGTCAAAACCCTGAGGGGGACCCAGATGATACAAAACCAAAAAACACTTGCTATTCTTCACAACTTAACATGCAGTAGAAAACAAAATGCGGATCGTAATAATCAATTAAGGAAACACGAATATTTCACTCTCTAATTTAAGTCTCCGAAATACTTTGCAATCTATTGCATAGAACTTATTTTATAACACCAGCACACCATTCCTACATAACACCTTTTAATAAGCATAGACAGGCACTGTTGTTTGTTATATGAGCTTAATTCTAAATACTGCAGCATGACTTTATGAACAAAAAACACTTCACGATCAATATCTCATTTCCTCGTAATTACAATTGAAGAATTAGTGAACAACTATGAGCTTTGGGCATACTACGACTTATAAATTGTTTACAGCAGCAGTAGCATCAGTCTAAATCTAAATAGCACCAGATCAAATCATGAAACAACGGATAGAATAAACCTACTAAATAACTAACTAACAGAAACACCGTTGTCGAGTCTAAAAATTTGTTGAGAAAATTTAGAAAAAAAAATTCAGATTTGCTGAAAACAAAACTTCTAAATGAAACAATGAAAACAAAACTTCTTCATACTGCAAAATTTAAAAGACATTTTACCCTTGAAAATAAAAAAACAACATATTCACTAGGAAGAGTCAATATGAAAATTGTTACTTTGAGAACGAGCTGTGACCAAGAAATTTGGCAGTGAACGTTTTTTGTGTGATAGTTTACATTAGTGAGTAAAAAGTTTTAAAATATTTTGATTAAGTTAGAATGTTTCCGGAATTTTGGCATGTACTAACTTTCGCGACCGAAAAAATCGGCGGCAGCTTTCGCGACTTAGGTCAAGACGGCACACACATAAAGCGGAACAACCGGCCATTTGTCATTTTTGGATTTGAAACAGTTTTTTCCAATTGCAGATGATAGTGTTTCCATCACATATCATTAGCACGAAACAAAAAAATCTAATTACCATAGATAAGAAAAATACATCAATTTCGGTTGCCTTGTTCTGTCAAAGAAATCAACCGACGCAGACCCTGGTGCCAGTTATATCAAAAGCCATAAATTACTAGTTGGGTCTCACATCTAACAGAAACTGATCATGAATGGCTTAATGATATAGTTAGTTATGCCAGTACCTGGGATCAACTAAAAAATTTTTTCAATCTGGTTTAAGGACGGACGCGATCAATTCAAACACAGAAATGGCGCAGAGAACGCACACGCCAAGAAGGCGAGTTAACCAAAAATTACTTGTAGAGGATCATTTCCTCTATAGATATAGGATGGCCTTAAATTATCGATGTAACAACCCCTCCAAGAATTAATTAAATGACGGAGAATACTGACTTCTCAACAGCACAACATAACGCAAAACAGTTATCACAGCAATAGCAGCATAGAATCTGTTAGATCTCACTCTCCCTTTTAGAACAAGTTGAAACAAGGATAGCCGGTTACTGTACAAGTACCACAGAATGTTCTGACCATAGTCATTAAAAAACTAAGATGTTTTTTTAATTAGTTTTTCTGCGTGGTGTGATAAAAACTTCTCATGTAAGACTATAATTTAGGCATATTTGACATTCGAAGTAATACAGGCAAAAAAGACACAATCATCATTTTTTAGAAAATTGACTAGAAAAACAAAAGTAAGAAAACTCTGAACACTTTAAAATTTGCATAAAATTATTCTATTTTTTCGAAGTTTTTGGTTCCCAGAATGGAGCTAAAAAACTCCAAAAATTAAATTTACTTGCTAAAAGTTAAGTTTTAAGGTCTTAAATAAGGCATAATTTAGCTGTTGTAAGCCAGTTTGCTTCATTTATTCGCTCGAAGTAAGATGAAAAAACAAAAGTTTCAAACCGGTTTTTCTCAACACTGGTAAAACTTTTTGGAAAACTTTAAATGTGGTTCGAATCACGACTGAAAGGACTTTAATATGATATATCTTTCAGCACAGTCCAATCATTATTTATGGTAACTGATTTTGCGTGAAAACAAAAAGCGGACTAAATTCCTACCGCATAAAGACACATGCAAAACTGGATTAATTTTTATGAATTCTTTTTATGTTCAAATCGTTTTTGTAAAACAAAAACACAAAAAAGCAACCAAATCCCAAAAATACGAAAAAAACCTCACCAGAAAAAATTTTACAGGGAGCTCTCAATACTAAGCAGAAGAAGTTTCCAAAAAAACCTTTTCTGCGGAATTAAGCCACCAAAAAATAAGCAGACAGACAATTTTTCTGGTTCTCAAAATTTAAAACCAAAACCTTAAATCTATCGTGGATATAGTTCACATTTTTAGGCACAAGGTAACAAACAATTTATGGTTGTATTAACTTTTGTGTCGAATTTTCATCATCAATTATTATACAATCATATTATGCATTCTATTTTTTGTTTTGATTTTGATACCGGACCTTCTGTTTTGATACCTGGCAAACCGGAAAGATTCTACAGTTTCGAAAAGAATGTTGACATAATGAGGATAAGTTTAACCCCTGAAACGCAAAGAAGAAAACTTCAAATTGCATCAAGATCGGAAAAAGGGCAGACTAATAATGATTTCAGCATTGATTAGCAATCGTGTTCGATCAACAACTTTAACAAAAAAAAGTTACAACCCTTATAACAATAACCATCATTCAAATTTCTCATAATGCTGCTTAATCAAATCAGTTTTAATTTTACAAGATAACCGAGTAATTCAATAACATAAAGATTAAAAACTAGGTCGCAGTTAACGTCTCTGGCATTTTCGCTTCCTGTTAATTAAAAATTGTGATTTCCTTAGTACAAATCAAAACGCAAACAAAAAATCTTATATTGAAAATTTTTGATATTTGTTTTCAAACACGAGAGCAAAACATTACGAAAGCGCTCTATTGCTTTTTTTTTGCTGTGAAATCTTTGAAAAGACTCTCAGCCTTTCTGTGTATAGATTGATTTGACTATTTATGGTTTTTTATGGCTAGCTATATTTCTGACTTAGTACGTGAACTGATAAAGTCTAGTAATCTATTTCTAACAGCTTGCCAACAGAATGCATTTGTAATCCTTTTTCAGTTGGATCTTGTTTTACTAACTGGCTCGATCCTGAATCAACCAAATATTGGACTATCAGATTGAATCTGATACGTTGCTTTGCCCATCAGAAGAAAAAATTATATACATTTTTGGTTTGGAAAAGTAATCTGCTTGTAGTCTGATCATATTTCAACCAACTCGACCCTGGATTTCGATAGCGAAAAAAGTTACTATTTTAAAAATTTCTTGGCTCCATACCTCCATACTTTAAATTGATCCACGCAATTCTCGACAACGGTTTAAGAGTCTAAATATTTTCTAGTGAACCAATGAATTTAATAAAGTTTTTTTGAAGGTCAAAAATCTGAAAACAAAAATACAAATTTTCTAGTTTCATCAAAAATATTGAACTTTTTCACATTTTGTCTAGACCTTCTAGGAGAATAATTGTAACATTCAATTTCAAATTTTCATTCAATTCAATCTAGCTTCATAATTACCACGTAACTAGAGACAACAATTTAAACTACAGTATTTATCTGACAATGAGTAACTCTAATCTAATCGGGGGAAGCATCGATGAAGCTTTTAGCAAAGGTCAAAACTTCAAACAATTTGAAATTCGAACCTATGAGGCTAGCAGATGCCTCGGAGAGGAGTAACCAATAACAAGAAAAAGGCGTTTTAAGAAAAGTGTGACAATTTGTTCAAAATTTCAGTGGACAGAATTTCGTGGATTTTCAAAAAGTTGTCCAAATTTCAAAGGGAACTGTAGGGTTTTTAACTTTAAGTCGCGTAACTCTGTAGGTTTAATTTCAAGGGCTACTGTGTCAACTTTTGGAGTACACGAAACTTATGCTTTACTTTTAGCACATGAGTTCAATAGTAGTTCGAATTTCATCTAGTCTGAAATTTTAACCCTTTTCAATCAAGACATTCTAACTAATGATTTCACACTCGATTTAAAGCACGTTTAGTTTTCGCCACATCCACCATTTGGCCATGCCACTTTTCATCTGCCGTTTATTGCCTTCAATCTTACTCATCAACCGTTTACGTCTCTCATAGTAATCCTTCTCTTTTATGTACCAAACAGGCGGCCACCGATTCCTCAACAGCTCCTTTTTCGTCTCATCGGTCAACATCGTCTGCTTCAAGTAGCTGTAATTTTTGCACATGAAATCATAATTGTGACTCAGATGTGTGAACAACCACTTATGCAGCGCGTGGGCGTTGAACAAATTGCATTTATCAATTAGAAGAATCGAGTCTTTCACGCTTTCCGGTTGAGTTTTCGTGTTCAAATCCGCCACTAGTTCGTGCTCCACTAATGAAATCAGTCGGTCTAGACAGAGTCTGTTGGCGAATTCGATGACGTCACACCATTCTGATATATCCATTTGGGATACTTTCAGAATGAGCTGGTCGCAATAGAGATATCCAAGTACTACTTTCAGAGCTTCAGATGAGATGTCTGATACATCTAGGTGATGACCTTGACTCTCCCTGAAGGATCCGCACAGCAACGAAGACATGAACTTTGACCTAGACCACAAAATATAATTTGAAAGGAACGAAAATTAGGTTTTTAAAACTTTTTATATTCTCAACAAAAAATGTCCAGCTCACTAACAAAAAAATCAAAAATTTTTCAAATTCTTTTGTAAACACGCGCGCAAAAACTAATAAGAAGGAAAATTGTAATAATGAAAATTACCTTGCCACCAAAATATATTTGTGTACAAATATGCTCTCCCCGTTCACTCGGAAGACAAAATTGCCTGTCTGGTTCAATTGTTGCGCTTGGAACTCCTGTCTAAGAAACTCCTGACGCCTCCCAACATTCATCAAGTTCTCGATCTCCGTATCTGGCTTAGACACACTCGAATTTGATTGGTTCATAATATTCGGCAGATTGTTTTCGGAAGAAGAGGAACAACTGTTCAAACTAGTACTGCTGTTGTTGTAGTGAGCGAGATTGGTAAGCACTGCGAGTTTGGATCTCGTGTTTGTCTTCCCAGTTGAGTCTGCAGAGGATCCGATGAAGATGTGGTTTTCGCAGTTCATGGACATATTGCGCAGATGGATCACAAGGTCATGCATCTGTGAACAAATAGATTCGAATCAATAATTCGGTTACCAATAGACAATTCCACAAGATATTCTGATCTAGTGCAATTTCTCGATCAAAAAGATTTCGATTTTAAGGACTCATTGACTGCCTTTATATGAATTAAAAGGTATAGGAAATTTTTAATTTTTAAATTTGTCAGGTTCATTTTAAAGCGTTGACTAAGAAGAATTTTACCAAGAATTTGGGATCAGTTATAAAAAAAAGCAAGGCAAAAAAATTGAAAAACATTCAAAACAGTGTTAATTAACGTGGAGTTAATTAAGCAGCCAACCCGGATTGAGAGTATTTTTAACTGACCTTGAACAGCTTAGCAGACTGCATGAGTTCTAACTTGGAGCAGTGGAGCACTTTGGAGGGCAGCTGAAGATGATACACAAAGTGAAGTAGGAGAGACACGTGGTTCTTAGGAATACCAGAATGGACACACACCTACGGTCAACATAAAATTTAAAAAAAAGACACACTTTGTTCTAAGGTTTGTAGAGGATTATTTTGACACGGGAAAAGGGGTGTTGAAAATGTTGTACACTTCTTTAGCTCAACAATTTCCACCAAAAAAGACATTTTTGACGCAAGCTCCCCCTAAAATTTAGTATACTTGGGAAAAATGCTATGTAGCCAGGAGCTATCGTAAATTAAAACCTAAGAGGAGACCACTGGAAAAAGTTTCAAAAAACCGAAATTAAAAGGGAGTGCAGTCGCCTCTCCACATATTACCCATACCCACCATACGGACGCGGTAACCGAGCAAGTTAAACAGCGCATTTCGACATAATTTTTTCATGCTCGTTAATTTTACGGAAAACTATTTAATGGGGACATGAAATGATTTTAACGTTCGGTTGAAGTCTACAATTCAACTAATCTTACGAATGTGGTCAAAGACAGTGACGACAAAATTACACTGCATTCGAGCGGGTTTATGTTGCCGTCAATGTCTATTGTCACAGTCACAATTTGAGCTGAAATACAGAATTTCAAATTCCATATTTCTGCCTCGATGTCCATCAATATTATTCCTACAATATCACCTGTTGAGCGCAGTTAGATGATGCCTCGGCGTCATCGAAGAAATCGCCTCCTGTTGTTCCTCCGCCTACTCTGTGTCTATTTGGAAGACGGTTGTCCAGGATGTAGTCAGACACATGGTTCATTTTCAGAATCGGAAGTCCGTTCAAAAACAACTCCGATCTTTTCAGACCGCCCACTTCTGATCCACAACTGAAGCAAACAATCAATGCGATTATCATATAAATAATACAAAAAATTTGCTTAAAAGAAAGGAACAAAGAAATGAAAAAAATCCTATCTCGGAATGGTAATATTATCCGTACGAATATTATAGTAGAATATCCAATAATAATGGACCATGCTTAAACCACCAGTTGGTTTACTCATATATTATTCATAATCTAAATGATTAACATATAGAAGTCTGATGATTAAATAAGTATCTATTTATACGTAAAGCCATATATACTAGTTCATATAGGGGACTGTCTCTCAAAGGATTTGAGGTCAAGGTCAGCCAGACTTAAAACATAGAGATTGAGTTTAAGTTGCTATTTGAGCTGTCTTATTCGAACCAACTTTAGATGTTACAGACTAATATAGATTATGATTATACCTTTCATGGAACTAGTAAGGGTATAACAAATAACGGAATCTTGAAACTCCTGTCTAAAATTGAAATGAATCATTACGGTGGTTACTCACTTGTCTCGGTTTTCTCCATTATGTTCCGAATCCAAGTCACTGTCGCCTCCCGTGTCGCTCAAATCATTCAGCATACTATGCAGAACAGCCTGCTGCTCAAAAAACACCGAAAACAGTCCCGAACTCTGAACCAGAAGCAACTTGTGACAGAACAACTTAGTGGATCCACAGCAAAGCACAACATCTGCAGTTTCCTCCGATATTGCCAAAGATGACAGGTCTGCCAGGTAGGTTGATTGCACGACAGGAGGTAGTTGAGGGTAGGGTGGTTCCGGAGGGAGACACGGAGCTTGTAGCAAGGGTTCCCGAACTTTTCGCAGATGGTTCATAGTGTACATCCTAAGAATGACATATTTTATTGCAGTAAAACACTAACACGGAACGCCTCTGATATACGTTAAGAAAGAAGGCAGCGCAAAATTATCTTAAGTCTTGCATTACAATGTCTTTTGAGCACGAACTTTGCAACTTATGCTAAAAGGCCAACTACAAATCCCAAAAAAACTTTCATCAACAAGTATTGAAAACAATCTAGTATTGTACTCGATTAGGCCCGTGAAACACTGATTTATAAACACAAAATTTTTACGCGTCAGAAAGCGACTAGTACATACAAGTTTTGTAGCAAAAAAACTCCAGACCGAGTTTCGAACCTTGCACTGCGTTTGTGTATTAAAGCGGCTCTGATTGCATTCTCGAAAACATCGCTGACTCCGTAGCCAGTGAGTACCGTGCACTCGTAGTAGGGCAACCCCACATTCTCGCACATATCCCTGGCCTCGTCTGGATTGATTATGTCGGAGGCCTGGATCTTCCTGTTGAACTTACTCTGGAACTTGTGTTGACTCTTCAGGTCTTTCCACCGCATATCCAGCATAGTTCCTTGAAAGCATTAAAAGAGAACCGTATAACTTCAAGAAGTTGTCATTTATAAACTTTATGGAGACAAATTTTGTTAATTATTGATTAACCATTAAAAAAAAACTTGCGTATTATCATTTTTCAAAGTATTTCATGATCAGAGTCCTTGCGCTCAGTTTATCAAATTCGAAACTAACCCCATCTAATCAGTAACCAGGATCGCCGGTTGCTGTGTCAAGGGCACAGAATATTCCGACCATATTGTTAAAAATTTATATTTCGACCATATTGTTAATTTTTTTTTTCCTTTTTTCAAATTAGTGTCATTTGTTTTAGCGTGGAGTGATAAAAAGATCAGACGAAAGCCGACAGTCAATTCGACTTGGATAAATTTGACAGTGAGAGTAACATCGGCAAATTGGGCAACAGTTTCTCAAAAAAAATGACTAGAAAAACGACAAAAAAATACTTTTAAAAATCAGAACTTATCTATTTTTAGAAAATTTTTTAATTTCTTGAAATTTTTTTATTCCCAAGACGGCGCTAAAAAATTTCGAAAAAGAAATCTACTGTAGTGAAACAAAAGTTTTGCACCTTATTCTACTATTATATGCCTGCTCGCTCGTTTAACTCGCTCGAAATTGAACTGATACCCATTTTTTCTCGACTAAGAAAACTTTTAGAAATATATTTTTTTTAAATTTCGTTCGGATCAAGGCTGAAAGGGATTCAATGTGATATAACACTCTACTCAATCCAATAATTATTTGTGCAAATTGATTTGGTTGACAAAAAATAAGCCTGCTCGCTCACTTTATTAGCTCGAAAATCGACAAAAATCAAAAATTTCAAGCAAACTTTTTGGACACTGAGAAAATGTTTAAAAGTTTTTTGGATGTCGCTCGAATCACAACTGAAACGGCTTTAATATGATACTTCACTTTACTTATTCCGATGATTATTTTGGTACCTGATTTTGCGTGGAAAACAAAAAAATGAAAACTAAAACACACCAGAATACAAAGTTCTTCCCCGTTTTCAATGGTCGGAACAATAAATTAACAGATCAAACAGCAATTATATGAAGTCTCTTTAAAAGACCTCAATTTAGGTGTCCATCTAATAATCTTTAGGGGCAAATTTTAATACGATGTCTGTCAATGACATGTTGACAATAATGATGACTATTTTGACATACCTGCCAGAATGACCGGTATGTTTTTGAGGAAGTGGTGGATCTCTCCCAGCCATCTGGCAGTGACGTTGTGCATGGACTTGCGGTCACAAAGCGAGAAGCACAGCACCACCACGTCAGCATTCTGATACGCAAAGTTCCTGCGAACCAAGGACGAATTTAGTGTTAAAGTTGCTATATTGAGGATCATGCCAAAGTTTAAGCAAAATAAAGAGTCTTAAAAGTTGACTCATTGAGTGATTGAGCTATTTCTCAAAGCTTTTTGATATTCGCTAAGCTTTTCCAAAAAAAACTTACTGAATGGAAAAACATCAGTCGCGCATCTTAGCATCAGCGATAACATGGATATTCTTTCTATATAACAGCAAAATCATTGCAAGCAAGTTCTGCTGCGTGGTCAAATATCAAAGAGTCCTTAACTCAGATTTCGTGAAGACTTCTAACCTGTCCTTTGAATGGTCTCCAAAAGTGTCCCAAATCCTTACAGAAACATGCGCCCCATCAATGCAGCACTGTGCCAACTCCTGCACGTCACGTCTGTGCTTGTACTGATCAATCGCCCAAATAGTCGGCACACAACTCTTGTTCAACTCTTTCTCACTGAAGGTCCTTTTACAAGCTTGAGAAAAAGCGAGTTTGCTTTTACCCGAACCACTATCGCCAACGACAACGATCTTTATGTTTTCTCGCAACGGGTGATCATATTCGTCCGCGTAAGCACACGACAATTTTGCTGAGCTAGTTGTCCCACTTGTCGCTAGCGTGGAACTCACAGGAGCTGTTCTTGGAGCTGCAGTCGTAGTTCCCTGATTCGTTGTTTGGTTGGGAGACGCTCTATTCGATTCACTCTGATTCGCTGACCGATTCGGAGACGCAGAGGCCGCAGTACTCGTGCCCTGATTGGTTGTCCTGCTGAGTCGGTTCTGATTGGACGAAACAATTGAAAGTGAAGCTGACGAAGATGGTTGTTCTTCTAAATTAGCACCATTTTGCAGAGAGATTGCACGGATTTGTCTATTTGCGGATGACGATGATACTAAAGGTAAATTATGATCCAATAACCTTGCATTATTCTCAAAACTTCTAAGGTCTGAACTCATTTGACCTTGCGGATTCCAATTATTATGTACGAATTCTTGATCTGGCGTGATACGCGAAGGTCCAGCCAACGCCACGTGATCAAGTCCAGGGTTACTTTCTCTTCCCGTAAATATTATATTTGGCTCTCTCCGAGGTGGTCCAACACTATAATCGTTGATTCGTCTGGCCGAAGTTTCGAGGGTTGAAACACGTTGATGCTCATGGCTCATAATTGTGCAACAACTGAAAAAATACAATCTACAAGTTCCAAAACTTCTCTGCATAAGGAACAAAATGACATTAAGCTAGTTTCAAACTTTCTCAGTGTGAATGAAGAAAAACTTAAGAAAACTTCAAAAACACACGCTGAGATTACTTTATATCCATAGCTGGGAAAAAGAAAGGAATTTTAGAAACAGAACCAAATTAGGAAAACTCATCAATTCCATCAATACAAAGAAAAATAAATGAGTGAATTTCTTGCACAGACGCAAAGTTACAGATCGCAAACACTAGTTAAAAATGAAGAAAAATTTAAAATAAAGGTTGAAAATGTTTCAAAACCTTGAAATGACAGGAGTAGCCGGTTGCTATGAACAAAAAACACAAACCGATTGAGGATGAAAAACCAAAAAAATCCAAGTTTTTATAGGGCAATTATTTTTAATTAGGCTTCCTGGTCTAGAACTTAACATTAAGCTCAGGCTTAAAACAAGCTAGCGTGTAACGCAATTCCGGTGCTGCAAACACATTAGTAACGTGAAAGTTGTTTATATATAAACTAAATGAAAAAAACAACGAAATGAATGCAACTCATAAACGAACCCTTAAAGGACAAACAGCATTAAACCGCACTTCAATATTAAAAACATTGAATCATATTGTTTTGCAAAATTATCAAATTCATCAAATTCATAATCCAGCGTAACTAATTTTGAAATTTCAGAATCTTTTTTCTAAATTTAATTGTAATGCTAATGAAAAATTTTGAAATATCAAAATAACAAAAAATTCGAAAACTCAATGAAAGAAGCAAAAAATAAAGGATGGGAGGCAACATCTGCATCTGCTGGAAGTAACCTTACGTAAACCCATCAAAGATTCGACAATTTTTTTTTGAAATTTAACACATTCGAAAATTTTCAAAAAAGATAAAAACCACATATCTAAGAAAGTAAAAGGCGCTGGGCAGTCATATTTGGAGTCCACATAAACATCCCGAGAGTACCTTGAGAGCATGTCGCCATAGTAGAGAGTATTTTAAACTTTGTGAAGTTTAAGATCTTGAGGTTTTGATAATTTTTGAAAGAGCATAAAAAACGACATATGACCAAAACTAAGATAATTTGAGCAATCAAACTTGAAGGCACGATCTGCAACCTCTGAGAATACCCTGAGACCACTCCGCTATAGCGTTGGAAATTTCAAATTTTGAAATGTTTTTTTTTTATTCAAGTTTTTTCAAAATTTTTTAAAAAATTTTTGAAAACAGGTCATATCTCGGAAAACATGTCATATCTCGGAGCAGTCAAATTTGTATGGAAGATTTGCACGCCTGAAAGTACTATGACAGCTCTTCAAACCAGAGAGTTAAGACTTCCTGAAGTTTTTTTTTCTATCTAAGTAATTTGAAAATTTTGAAAAAAACTTTTATATCTAAGTTATTTGAAAGTTTTTGAAAAAATCAAAAAAATGTCATATCTCGAAAACTAAAAAAATTGAGACATGTTTTGAAGCAAAATTTGGAGTTTTTCAGAGTATCCTGACAGCACGAAACTACAGAGTTCAGAATTGAAATTTTCGTGGATTTTTTTGAACCTAAGTTTTATGAAAACTTTCGAAAAAAAAAAATCACCAGAGTCTTCGTATCTCGTGAACTGAAAAAATATGTGTATTCATTTTTTGAGGCCCAATTTTGAGGCAGCATCGCACTTTTGAGTTGCTTATTTCAAACTGGAAGAAAAAAAAACTGATATCAAGCTGAAAACTTTCTTCACCATTGCAATTTACGATAGAGCTTAAACGTGCCAAAACTCTTTCGTTAAATAAGCGAAAACAAGACGTTACAAAATCTTAAGCATGGCGAGATAGTGAAATCATGGTGAGATAGTGGCCGAGAAATCTTATTCAACAGAAGCGAAGCCGACCTTTGCATGAGCTGGAAAAAAAAGCAAACAAGTCATTGCAAACTAGCCGACTAAATGAGACTAAAACCGCAAAGTCGAATTTTTAATGTCGAAAAAAATTAGATCTATGAAAAATTTATCATGTTCATCTCTTTTTTTTGTATGGAGTTCGTTTTGAGAAAAACATGCCAAGTAAGACAACTGAATGGTAAAAAAAATAGCTTGGCAACAAAACTTAGGAAGCGGTTATGAAGCCAATATTACTTACAGTAGAAAGCTGTTGAGACAAAAAAAATATCGCAAAAATTAAAGTGCCATCAGACACAAAAAATCAAATTCTTATTTGCTCATAAAACGGCTGAAAATGAGGTGACTAAAGCCGATATACTATAAACCAAAACCTCTTAGGCCGAATAAATTCAAATAAAAGTTGAAATCAAGCCATTAAATTCCTCGTTTGAAGGGCGACTGGTTAACTAAAGAGCTCATAATTGATGAATCACGATTAAAAAGGTTCTTCTCTATAAATCAGGATTGAAAAGACATTTATACGATAAACCTTGCAAGCATATCGCATGTTAGTATGTGGTACCTAAATTGGCGCGAAACAAATTAATCCAAAATGTCTCTTCACTTGTAGCACATATAGGGCGACGCCAAGCACCGCAAGGTGAAAAGTAGGCAAATCGGAGCTTCGAATTGCAATAAAACATAAACGTAGCATTGCAAACTAGCCGACAGAAAATAAAGCCAAGCCAAGCCAAAATAAAGCCTTGAAAAGTAGATCGATTAAAATTTTCATGTTTGCCTCGGTTTGTATTGAAAATTATTCATTTTGGAAAAAAAACATGCCAAAAAAATTGAATTGAAAGGTAGCATCAGAAGAAAACTTACTCAGCGGTAGCGAAAATACCTCAGCAGACACCCCGTTGACACGACAAAAAAGAGAACTGAAATTATAATAAATCGGGGCAAGTAAATATACAACCAAAATAAAAAACCACCGAAGTCATCTTGAGAACGAAGTTATTTACGGTAAAAATAGTCCAGTATCCGGTTGCAATAAAAAAATTCCCTTGGTTATCACCAGAGCAAAATGTATTTTTGATTCATCTGAACTCATTCAAAAATACTTATATAATTTCTCGAAAACGCTGCCGAACAACGGTAAACTTTAGTTATTGGAAAAAATGAATGGCCGGGGCGTAATTGTCTCATAAATATTGGCTTGTTTCCAATATTACTACCGAACAATTACTGGAAATATTTGTGAAAAAACTCACCTATTTAAAGATCCCATAATTAAGGATTAGTTACAGTTTTTCATAATTGGCGCAAAGCTAGTGGGGCACGATTTCGAGAACTGAGATGGTGAATTGATATCATTCTAGGGTTGCGTTATTGTTATTCTACAGTTCAAAGCGACCTTTATTTGAGAACTACTGTTGCTTGTCATGAGAGTCAAACACCGTACGAACAAAATGCAAATTAACGCCACTTACCAGGATCGAAAGCAAACGAGAAACAAATTTGTAAAAGCTATTTGTGTAGTTTTATGTATCAATTCCACCAAAGTCAGGATGGCTATTTATCAGCCAAAGACTATTACTGTTAATGAACTACCAAATCACTCACTATTATTTCCACAGCAAATACTATTTTTAACTGTATTTTAAACTCAACAAATAGATTTCAACAATCAAGTTTTTGATTGACATGATGAATGTATAAAAACATAGCATTGGTACTAAATCGGTGCTGAGAAGAATTGAACTCTGAATAAAATTATTTACTTATCAGTGATATAATTAGCTTAAGAATAAATATAAAGCGCCTCATTTAAAAACCAAGAACCTGAAGGTTGAGCTCTCAATCAAATAATATCTTGACTAATGCCACTCAAATCACGATTTATGTCCGTGATTAAAACCGATACTTAAAATTATCTACAATAAAAGAAAATACAGAGATCTTGATACCACTTTTGGCAGTTTGAGTAATATGAGCTAATTTTGTTGTATTGACAACCAATATGACAATCTGGTTTAAATAACAAGAAAAAGCAAGCTTTCAAAAAATCAATTCTTATATTTATTAACAAATTATTTTTTAAACAATTTCTTTAAGATTGGACGTAACGAATATTGATTGACTGAAATAAAACTATGAAAAGCATCATCGGAAAGCAGATTAATTCAATGCGAATGGTTGCGTCCTTTTGGAAACAGCAGAATTATTCGACTAGTAGTGTAATCTTCACGTCATCGTGCACACCTGTAGTTAACATATTCATTGCTTTTTCAAAGAAAATTTTTAAAAAAATCCGCATTCGACAAACCTCTCCTTAAAAGAACTTTCTAGGTAAATGCAGATATTTATTTTAACACCTGAAACCATAAACTCAGTGCTTTAATTAAAGTTATGAGATACTATCGCCAAAATATTATCTGATTAACCCTGGGCCTTAAGTGTCTTTAAAGTTTTATGCGCAAACAGCGGATTGATTAAGCTGTGTAGCCCTTCAAGCCTTATGTATTTTATGAGCGCGATTTCGGTTACAGAACACAGCCCGCCAAGAGCTAAAAAACGTTATTACACTAAATAAAAACAGACCTTGTGCGACACAAAACACAAAAAAACACAGACCACTTCCGATACAGAAATAATATTTAAAGAAAGACTTTGTGGCCATTTTTAGTTACGGAACACAGCCACTAGAGAGCTGAAAAAAGCTATTACACTAAAAAAAAACAGACTTCGTGCGATACAAAATACTAAAAAAAAACACAGACCACCTTGCGATACAAAAATAATATCTGAAAGAAAGACTATCTAAAAACGCGACAAACTAACTATTCTTAAAAAAAACAAGTTGTTAAAGACTAAACGCGGATCTAATTCGACAAACTCCAAACACCGGCATAGGAATTATAACTTGAACAGCGATAAAACAGCGATATATGATGAAATCAGATAATTTTATAATTTCAGAAAGTTTAGGTAAAATGCTTTAATCTTTGCTATTTTGACTTCAGATGAAAGATATAAACATTAAACAAGACTGCTTGTAGACCAGGGCAAAACCCTGAATGTTGCGACTACTCTCTATATCTGAATCAAAATATCACAATTTTTTTTCTAAACTTTGTTTCTATATTTTTGTTTCTCAATTTATTCACCACAAGCTATATAAAGTACCAAGTGATATATTCTGCACGTAATAACATTTGAAAAAGGGCAAGTTACTCGCTCAGTTCAATTTGGAAGTAACTAATTTGCAGCTTACGCTTTAATATAAAGAAACATATTTTCACGCGTTAATAATGCCAAATTGAATTATAGTCGTCAAGAAGTCTCAAACCATTATAACTTTGTGAAAATTGATCACAGGTGAAATGTCTTTTTATATTTGTGCTCCAGAGAGCAATATTTCAGATGATTTAAAAAATTTGCATCAGAAAAATTGCTTCGTTTGAAAGACGAAAAAAAGAAAACTGAGAATTAACGTTTTTCACTCACAGAAAAAATTGGTCAAGACTTCATGGAACTAAATTACTTTAACCACAACAGAGATCCATCAAAGTAATTGATTTTTTTTTTTAATCATCACATAAGTAACAAAAACTACGCTTTCGAAATGACGCGGGCAGAACATAAGCAGACAAACGATATCCCCAAAAATTATTTAAAAAAACTTTCCAGCAGAAAACTTTCAACTCAGAATCAGAAGAGCTTCTGGCCAAAATTTAACCCGATACATTTGACTCCCAAGCATATGCGTTACCTTTACTCTTTAGCTCTTAACACACTTCCTCTCAAAAGTTAATGAGACTTCAAAGATTTTTTAATCGATCAGAATTAAAAGAACTAAATTCTTTTCAAAATTGAGATGGAAGAAAGATTGCTGGTGAAATGATCGTACTTTCATTTAGCGACCGCGATTTGAAATCCAACTCACTAGTACCTATAAATGACGAAGAAAAATCCAAGACATTAACTACAAAAAACGCATGCCCTGAATGAGTGCATATAAAAAAAAACAGAAAAAACACAGTCTTGTATTTTCTGTTTTTTGCTTTGAACTGTTTTGTATTCAATACAAAACAGTTCAAAAATCAAGACAATGAACAAAACACAATCCAATACAAAACATTCCAAGCTCATTTTAACGATCAAATACTACCAAGCCGACTGTCGGTTTGAGGTCACCGGTGAGCACGCTAAGCGCGTCGCGTCGATAACCGGCTCTTATTCTCCTATAGAGCCTTAGCCTCTGATGGCAAGCTCGCAACAATTTGGCCCGACTGAGGCGGTCACTATTTTGTTGTTTACCTTGTTTGAATTAAGACAATTCTTGTCCTACAGGCTCCGCCTTTTAAAAACAACAATTGTTTGGATCGTTTTGTACTGGATTGTTTTCCGTCCAATTTTATACTTTTCCGATTTGTTTTGCATGGGACTGGTTTGTACAGACACGCTTGAATGAGTGAATATAGCAAACAGAGAAAAGAAAGTCAAGGAAACAATAAATGCATTACACCTTGAAGTTTTTCTTTATTTTCGAGATACTTTTCTGATGCACACCTAATTGACCAAACAAGAGAATACTGGATCAAAAAAAAATTTTCTTGTTCCGTTGAGAAATCTAAAATTTAAACCCACTTCTGAGATTCGAAAAATATCAAAAGTCAAACCACCGAAACCAAAGAAATGAGCTTAAGCAAAGTTTAATTTTTTTTGACTTATAACCAATACCACACGATCTTGGTCCACTAATATTTAAAAACAGGTTGAAAATTTGAAACCACGCTGCAAGAATAGCCATCCGAACACAGATTCTGGTGCAAAAGAAAAAATTTAGAAAAAATTCTGAGATAGAAAAAATTTTGGGTTGTATTTGGGTGTTCGACGTTTAGTCTAATTTATACAAACACAAGGAAAGAAAGATTAATATTCCAACTAACCATAAACTTGTAAAAGAAAAAAATAAGAAAAGGTTTCGAAAAAATCCTAAAAACTTTAAATTTGAAACTTCTCGATTTACTGTTTGGATTTATTTCGCATCGAAAACAAGGGACATTAAATTGTGTGCTAACCTCATAGCTACGGGCAGCCCCAATGTTAGCTCCGACCAGAGTGGAAAAAAAATTGTCAATTGCGGTATTTTTCCAAGCAAAACTAGGTACCATTATAAACGCTAGTTGGACATAAATACTCAATTTCATATAAATCTCTATTAATTCTCAATTTCATATTATTATATTAATCTCTTCCAGTCGCTAATCAGATTATTTTAGCGTTGCGAAAAACTTTTGTCTTTATTTTTCCGTTTTTCTACTAATTTACGAAGGAAACGGATGAAAAAATCCCTTACTAACACTGCTGCTATTTCAAGTTATTTTCGTTAGTATCACCTCATTCGTGCACACATTTCCCTGATTCAAACATCTCCCACTACCTTAAAAAACCAGCGAAACTCATAAAAAAGCGGGAATTACAGAAAGAAGAATTTATTTTAATTAATTCAATATTGATTTTAATCCTTATTTTTTAAATTACCTTACGCAGATAATTTTTATCAGAATTTTCTATGCTATAGCAAACGGATATCTTCCGTTGTTACTCTTTTCAGTGTTACTCTTTTGCACTTTAATCAACGTATTGAAACTTTACTATCACTCCAGGCAAAACTACTACAATAGAGATGCTACAATTGACGGGTGAATTAGGGGAAAAAATCTTTTTTTTTGTAAAGTTTTGTTTAAAACAAAAGAACGCTGTTATGGTGATTTCAAAGGACACGGGTGATCCCTTGAAATACGATTCTTTTTCATTATTCAGTTCTAGCGTATGTTGCTTCAACATCAAAAAATGTTGCTTTACTATTGATATAATGACGCGTCTCGAGCTACCAGCGTCTTAATCAAATGGCGACGATAAAGCAAAATCAAATTATGCTCTTTATTGAAAACAACGAAGGGAAAAAAGCAATGAATAGTTTTAAAAAAATAAGAACCCTGCAAAAGCAGCTCGCTATCATACGAGACTATCTTCTTCTTTTTGGCGGCTTTGAGGGTTCCAACTAGAGCTTCGAAGATGTTGGCACATTTATCGTCGGCAAAAAGAACTCCGAACGTCACGACTGGCCGTCCATCAGAGTTGGATTCCTCAGAGAGACGTTTGATCTCTTCTTTCAACATTTCAACTTCTTTTTCAACGTCCATCGAATCAATTTAATCTGAAGTGCCAAAAATTACAACAATGGAAACCAAATAAGTGAACTTTAAATTGCCACAAAAGACCTCAAAAGTCCACCCTAACGGCTTCACTAAAGAACACTTCGTTTAAAATTTCAAAAAAAAATTCTGAGAAAAATGAGCTCATTTCTGTCTGCTTCCAACCTGTCTTGCATAAAATGTGTAGATATGTTTCTTTATCTAGCCATGGTCAGACATTATGTTTTTAGGAAATCGCTACACTGTTAAGGCTAACTAGACAAACGGCAATATTGATGCTTTTGTTCAGGCCACAATTTTTGAGAACTCTCCAAACTTCAAGGGCCTCAAAAGCAACTTCAAATAGGAAAACATGATGATACTTTTGAAAAATGTGATTCTGATTTAGAAAATAATCGCGGTTCAAGATTTGCTGCTTCTATGACGTTCTAAAAATTGCGTCAACATTAGAGAGTTGAATGATTTAATGTAACAACAATGTAATTGAACAAAAGCAACCCAGGATGAAAAAAAGGCAATTCACTAACTATTAGAAATTAACTATTACTTGGGAGGTCAGTTACTAATGGTTGAAGCATTGAGAATTACTCGTACAGCAATCAAATCAGATTATGTCCTTAATGAATTGGGTTGATAGACTTGCTTAACTTAGCGGTAATTTTGCACTTCGCCTCTCATGCGAAGTAACAGAGAAAAGTTCGAAAAGAAAACATTGAACTTTAGCCAGCAATTGGCTTTGAAAAAAGTAGGCCAAATTAAACCAATCAATACATAATATTCAATTAAATCATGATCAATTTCAATTTTATATTCACAAAGGGTGAAAAATAGCTCGGTTGTTGGACATTTTTTGAACAACAAGAGGTCGTTTTTTACCGCAGGTGGGTTAAAACCTTCCAACATATTACTCAACTTCTGATCAATTCCGGTTAAAATTAAGTCAAAAACACTGGAGTGAGACTGTGTGCAACAGCAAAACAGTCACAAGCATTTAAAGATTTTGCTGCACCCAGATTTTGCGATGAACCGAAATTTAAAGAATACTATTTGGACCACATAAGAACGGCCTATTTTTTTTTGATATATCGTAAATAATTTGCAAATAAAAAGTCTTTTTTGTTTTATGAGACTCCCAGAGTTTTAAAGGTCCCATACTCTACGGGTGGGACCTAGGAAGAAGTGGATCCCAATAAATCAATAGTCTTGAATACGCAGATCCATAAGTAGGACTTTTGGACAAACAAAAAAGTAGCCGTAAACAAGCAAGGGCAGCCGTTTGCTGCGCAAGAAGCACTTAATGCTCGGACCACAATCATAAAACATAGCCAACAGGCACTTGGATAAGAGTCAATGAACGCACTTAAATAAAAAAAAAACTGTTATTTCGAAACAAGAACCCACTTTCGTAAATGGAGCGCGCAGTTTCCCTAAGTTTTAGCAGACGAATTTGAATTACTCAAAAAAAGCTTTAATACGTAAGTGTATTCACAAAGACATTAATAAGTATGAATGCACTTCTGTAGTTATTACAGCATTTTAGGACTTATCACTGAAAAAAATCAACATCAAGACCTAGACATGCAAAAATATTTCATACTTTTACTTACTAAAGTTCATTACAAATTTACATGCACAAATATGACAGCTTCCCATAAAAGTACCAAAAATCACTTTGAAGCTCATAGAGGACCTAAATCAAAAAAGAATTACTTCGTTCATTATAACTTAAAAAATAGGTTGAAAAACAGACTGCAAATTTCTGTTCACGAGTATTGAGACACAGAGGCGAAGTTTCACTTCGCAAACACCAGCGGGATTACGACAAAAAGCAGCTCTAGAAAAAGCAATAACAAAAAAACTGAAATGAGCCTCGAATTAGCAAAAATTTGGTTAGGTCTAGGATTCGATCTGCGACCTACTGCAATCAAAATACTTTGAGTCTTACGCACTAACCACTCGGCCACGCATGGTTAACCACCGACAAACACTAGTCACGAATAAAGAAGCTACATATGCTAATAAATTGCCAATGCCATTCAGCAAAAGTGGCACCCAATACAAATAGACACATTTTTGCAAGTAATAAATTGGAATATAACAAACTGAAGACATCCACACCAACTGAAAGCATGTAAAAAAGCAAAGCATAAAGCCACTTTATGTATAAATTATGCACTTATGATTGTTATGCTGTCTGAAACAATTTTTTTTTCGGTTCATTTGATGAAACAAAAATGCATCAAATGTGTTATTTTATTACGATTCGAATTTGGAACCACATGCTATCAAAAAGTTGTAAAGGTGTTCCAAAATAGGCACCAATATTTGCGACTTAGGTTAGAAAAATAGGTTCTTAATAATACACTAAGCTGACGCTAGTGTAAAAAGTGTTCGGTTCAACAACACTTTAAAGCATTGCATCCTAGTTTGCGGCATAAGTCGATTAAATGCAAAACACACAGAGGTATTTCAAAGTTTCGCACCATTTGCGATACATCACATGATAGCGTGACGAGTAAAAAAAACGATATCGAAAAAAATTAGACCCATGAAAATTTTCATCTCACGATTTGCCTCAAATGAAAATCATTTTGAGGAAAAAATTCCAAAAAAGACAATAACCAGCGTTAGATTATTCAGCATTACAATTTTTTGTAGCGGAAATTAAGCCGACAATAATAGGGTAATAGTCAGTTGAGCCGAGAAAAACCAACCTTGACAAAAAAAACTGTTCTAGTCCCCTCAACAATCAAAACTTTTTTTGCTCTTCAAACTACTCAATATGAAGGCAATTTGCCAATCTAGCATATGCCTAAAGCTATAAAGTCAAATATACCTTTCAATTAAAAAAAACAGACAAACAAATTGAAAAATTGGAGTTTGTATTTTACAACCAAGAATACATCCAATTTTTGAATTTCGAAGAAAAAATAGATGGCCTTAAAGCTTTAAGAATTTGTAGAACAATTTATGATGGACACTTTTTGTTATATTTGCCCAATTCAATTGAGAAAACTGGATCAATAGGTAAAACTTTCATTTCACTGGGAAACCTGATGAATAAATTCAATTTTCGAAACTAGTAGTCGATCACGTTTTTCGTGACCTTTAAGATTTGCTGTTCGATAGTAGAGTTTGCCTTCCTTTTAACAATGGAAATGCACTGAACTTAACAAGAAATCACAGGTCAAACCGCGAAAAACAAAAATTAAGACTCACTACGAAAACTACTCTTAAAAAGAACAGTTATAGAAACAATAGAAATGGTAAATAGAAACAGGTCCCAATATGTTTATGGGTTTGGACAGGTCTGTTGGTAGTCCACTTTTTACAGGTGAGTCCTGTTAACCAAGCTCTTTACAGAAATCGAATTTTTTGTACCCGGTTGCAATACATTTTCTAATCTAGCCAATTAAAGTAGCTAGCCACGAAGATGAGAATTTATATTTTTTGATAAACACTAGCCGTCAGAAAATTCTCTACTTATCACTGTCAACAAAGTAAGCACATTTCGAGAATCCGATAATAGTGAAAATGGAAACCTGGTGATTTTTATGGAAAAAATCTGGCCTTTAAGTCGTTGTGGCTGAGAAGACAACTGAGTTTTCTGATCCTTATCAGAAGATAACCAAAGTTGTAAAACAAAACTCACCTGTGGTTCAAAACGATTGTTTTTTTTAAAGCTCAAGTAGGTTTTAATTTGTGGCGACTACATATACATTGGAACTTGCCCTCGTACTTGATCAGTCGGCTCTAGCAATGAATTAAACACCACCACATTAATTTAGAGAATATCATAGCGACAAATGAAATTTTGTGTTAAATAATAAGAGCCTAAGGAGGGAAATAAAAAGGGAAAGAGTCTAAAATTCAATACACTAACCTTGTTTTCGGAACCCGCGCTGGGTGGAAAAAAGCAGAACTAGAAGTACTGCCACTCAATTATTTATCTTTTGTTGCCTGGGGAGCACAAGATAAATAAATTTGGAAGACTGGGGTGATATAGGAATGAAACGAAATGCTATCGCGACATCAAACCAGCAGGAAATCATTCAATTTTCAGATCAAACAGAAAGCGAGAATATAGGGTTGCTTCAAAGTTAATCCTTTTAGATCAGATTAAAAGAAAAATTAGAAAGAGCCTCTTCGTCTCTGAATTGAAAGTGGGGATTGGATCAATGAAATGTAGATGGCGTAAGATTCAGGAGAGGGGAAAGGGGGGAGGGGTTAAAAAGAGATAAAAAAAAGAATAAGGAGGTTCAAATTAAAAGGTAGGTTGAAATTTAAAATGAGGCTGAACAAATAGAAAGAAGAAGTGATTAATTCCACTCACAATACAACCCAAAGACAAAGAAGAATATCCTCTTATTTTGCAGGCAAATTGGCAAAAATGACTTTACGTCACAAGTTAAGAGCGGAAACGTTCATGGTAACTTTAGCAGAAGTAATTCACGCGGGCACAAATTGGTTTAAGTGAAAAGGGCAGCGCAAAATGAGGCAGAAAATATGAAATTTCAGGTCACAAGAGAGGTGAAAATTTCAACTTTGCGTCATAAAAACGTGCGCTTAAGATAATTAATGCCAACTGCAAAATTAAAGCAACTTGATAGGACAGACTTCATATATGCATGTGACCACAGAGTAGAAAAAGTCTAAAAATATACACTATCTCTGGAAAATAGTTATCTATTTTAATAACCACTGGAAAATATGTACAGAAATAAGCTTTTTCTGTGGCGAATATAGTCACTTGCTTAGTTACCCTGTGGTTATTGCATCCGAAAATATAATAAAAAATTCATCTCTGCTGGAGTTACCAATGAACAAACCAATAACTTCATATTTGCTCTTCACTTTTTTTCCTATTTCGCTGCCGCCATCTGAAAACACCATCAATATACCAGACTGTAAAAACAATTAATAATGTTTGCAAGCTAGTATTTCCATGTAAAGGGGATGGATCTGTGATCTGTCTATCTCAAATACAGGCTTTTAGCAGTCTACATTTTAGATGACAAGTATTTGTATGAGCTTGTAGCATACAAAAAAGCTAGCGTAACAAAAACGCCACGCATAATATCCTTTCTGCGAAAACGTATGTCTACCTAAAAGTTTGTCAGCTTTAATTCCTAGTGGCGTCTTTTAAGGCAGGTGATTTCACTTATTTGTGAAGGTGTTTAAAACTCTTCATTTTCCATCCCCTTTTAATGGTATGTCGCTTCCTCCTTTTTCGCCATCTTAAGCTCTTGACACAGCTTTCTACGAGCTTGTATGACGTTCTGGTGTCGAAACTTCAACACTACAGATTTAATAAAAGTGCGAGACAGCGGTAAGCAGTTTTCAATACGCCAAATAAGGCTAAATTATGGATACACAGATATTGCAACTGCCATAAAAAAAGCTAAGATCTTTCGTCTCGAGACAGTTAAAGTGTTTTAAGGTGGTCCTTTGTTACCGGGGTCTTTCTCGGAAACACTTAGCCGATGTCTGGTCCGGTAATAATGGAATGCGGTCTGTATGTAGACAACCGCGTATTCATACTCGTCAATAAGCAGACAAATACTGTATTAACCAATCAGAATCGAGATGGGAAAGCAAATTTACAAAATAAATAATTATTAAGTTCTCCCTTGTCTTGATTCTGATTGGTTAATATAGTATAAGTGTGCCTACTGACGAGTATGAAAACACAGTTGTCTAAATGATGCTACGCAACCGGTAATACTATAGCTACACTTTGCTCAAATGAGGTGGTGAAATAAACTTTAGATCCCGGTGTGGAACAAATGATAGCATTGTGCGTGACAAAGTAATGGTTCGCCAAAAAATATGAGCACATAACGGCTGAACTGAATTTGAGGCGATGAAGTTCCTCGTTTGTCGTTACCTACTTAAAAAGATCAAAGTCGATATTCTGAGTGTTACTGGTCAAAAAACCAGATATGGGAAAATTAAGCGCGTGAATTACTGCTACAGAAGGTAGGCCGAAAAGCGTAGAAGTCCATATATAAACCAACACAAAATCCGATATAGCAATCATTGTTGATAAATATGTCTTTTTTGATTAAGACGATTAAAAGCCCTGAAAGTTTAGAAGCTCTCAACAAGAGGCTTCAATAAAGAGAAACATATATAAAAATTGAAAATTAAGCCGACAAAAATACACCAGAAAAACAAAAGTTCGAATAATCAAATATTTCCAGAAATAAGTCAAATTATTAGGTACCGAAAAAAAGGTCCGTCCAGGATTCGAACACCGGACTTTAAGATCCCAGAGCACGCACTTTACTGCTATAAAAGCGTTTTAATGGTATGTCGCTTACTCCTTTTTCGCCATCTCAAGCTCTTGACACAGCTTTCTACGAGCTTGTATGACGTTCTGGTGTCGAAACTTCAACACTACAGATTTAATAAAAGAGCGAGACAGCGGTAAGCAGTTTTCAATACGCCAAATTAAGCTAAATTATGGATACACAGATATTGCAACTGCCATAGAAAAAAGCTAAAATCTTTCGTCTCGAGACAGTTAAAGTGTTTTAAGGTGGTCCTTTGTTAGAGGGGTCTTCCTCAGAAACACTTAGCCGATGTCTGGTCAGGTAATAATGGAATGCGGTCTGTATTTAGACAACCGCGTATTCATACTCGTCCATAAGCAAACGAATACTGTATTAACCAATCAGAATCGAGATGGGAAAGCAGATTTAAGAAATAAATAATTATTAAGTTCTCCCTTGTCTTGATTCTGATTGGTTAAAATAGTAAAAGTGTGCCTACTGACGAGTATGAATACACAGTTGTCTAAATGATGCTACACAGTTGTCTAAATGATGCTACGTAACCGGTAATTCTATAGCTACACTGTGCTCAAATGAGGTGGTGAAATAAACTTTAGATCCCGGTGTGAAACAAATGATAGCATTGTGCGGGACAAAGTATTGGTTCGCCAAATAATATGAGCACATAACGGCTGAACTGAACTTGAGGCGATGAAGTTCCTCGTTTGTCGTTACCTACTTAAAAAGATCAAAGTCGATATTCTGAGTGTTACTGGTCAAAAAACCAGATATGGAAAAATTAAGCGCGTGAATTACTGCTACTGAAGGTAAGCCGAAAAGCTTGGAAGTCCCTATATAAACCAACACAAAATCCGATATAGCAATCATTGTTGATAAAATGTCTTTTTTGATTAAGACGATTAAAAGCCCTGAAAGTTTAGAAGCTCTGAACAAGAGGCTTGATTAAAGAGAAACATATATAAAAATTGGAAAACAAGCCGACAAAAGCACACCAGAAAAACAAAAGTTCGAATAATCAAATATTTCCAGAAATAAGTCAAATTATTAGGTACCGAAAAAAAGGACCGACCAGGATTCGAACACCGGACTTTAAGATCCCAAAGCAAGCACTTTACTGCTATACAAGCGTGAAGGGGCTTCGAAGGTTTTGAGGTCCCATAAAAAGGCAAGTTCAAAATCTTATAAGCTGTTCACTGGATAAAAAGTCTGGTTCCCGATTGCATGTCATTTGCTCTCGCAAATGAAATCACAATATGTTGTCAATATAAATTTTTAATCGAATAAATCGTAAGCTCTTCGAATACCAGGAACATTCTATGATTGACAGAGTTTTTCAAGATGGTCCTTTGTTAATGGTGTCTTCCTCAGAAACACTTAACCGATGTCTGGTCCGGTAATAGTATAGCTACACTGCCCTCAAATGAGGTGGTGAAACAAACTTTAGATCCCGGTGTAAAACAAATGATAGCATTGTGCGGGACAAATGGTTTGTTCGCCAAATAATATGAGCACAATTGGTGAATTGAATTTGAAGCGATGAAGTTCCTCATTTGTCGTTACCTACTAAAAAAGAACGATCAAAGTCGATATTCTGAGTGTTACGCCAAATAATATGAGCACATAATGGCTGAATTGAATTTGAGGCGATGAAGTTCCTCATTTGTCGTTACCTACTAAAAAGATTAAAGTCGATATTCTGAGTTTCACTAAATAAAAAACCAGATATGGGACAATTAAACGCTTGAATCACTGCTACGGAAGATTAGCCGAAAAGCGTGGAAGTCCCTAGGAAAACCAACACGAAATCCGGGATAGCAATCATTGTTGATAAATATGTCTTTTTTTGATTAAGACGATTAAACGCCCTGAACGTTTAAAAGCACTAAACAAGAGGCCTGATTAAATAAACAACGATGACTTCCGCATGATAAAAATTTGTGGCTTTTATTTCAATTAACTTGAAAGAGAGTCTAAAAATACAGACGTTTAAACGGTATTTTAAACTGCCCTTTTTAAAACTGATTTGATACACAGGTACAATGTACGAAACTGAAAAAAAAGATTGTCTGAAGAAAATATTCACTTCCTTTTCCAAAACGTGTCTGCATTCCAATTGTTAACGTAGCTGTCAATCATTAGTTGAAACAAAAATACCAAAAAAAACATGAAGTAAACGAAATCAAAGGCCATGTTGATTCGCCAAGTTATGTAAGCAGAAAAAAATGAAACATATTTTTGGAATTTCGAACTTAATCAACTAAATGTTTTTTGAAAATTCTAAAATCTTTGAAGATATACATTTTTTTCGATAAAATTACCAGAATTAGAAGATTGGATCGAAAAGATGAACAAGTATAGTAGTTAAATTCAATTTTGAAAACGACCAGTTTTTCGTCATTGTTCCGAACATTTGAAAAATGGGGAGGAGCTTTGTAGTCGGATTTGTTTGAGTTTTTGCCTTTTTTTTTGGTTTCCAAGCAAGATCAAGACCCAAAATTAATCATCGAAATGGGCTAATAGATACATCATATTAAAGCCTTCTCAGTCGTGATTCGAACGACATAAAAATGTTTCTCAGTGTCGAGAAAAATGTTTCTCAGTGTCGGTTTGGGATTTTGGCTTTAAATCTAATTTCGAACGCTTGAAGCAAGCCAGCAGATTTAATATAAAAGGATAAATTGTGAAACTGTAGGCAAAATGTTTACTGAAACTTATACTGCGTTTTTGGAACAAATTGAATTTTTTTTTCTGATAAATTTTCCACAAAACCGTTTACCGATTTTCCTATTTTTCTATTACTGTCGAATATACCTAAAATTCAGGTTTGCTTCAGATACTTTCATCACACCACGCTCAAGAAACATTAATTTGAAAAAAGCAAGAGAAAAATTTTCATGTAATTTTTTTTCAGAATTTGGTCAAAACATTCTGAGCTACTTGCACAGCAACCGGGTACTCTTGTTTTTTTTTTGTGATTAAAGAAAATTTTTTCCTTCCGTTTGACCTAGAAACAGTTGATCGTTAACAATATTTAAGACATATTCTGAAAAAAAAAATCACGCGACCTGAATAATCACCCTACTCTTTTCAAGGTTTAACACCTGATTAGAAAAACTTACCGCAGCTTAAAACACTGCCAAGGAAATAAGACAAGCAAAATAGACGCCGTTGACTGACAGGAAATTAGACCAAATAGCAGAACGCATTTCAAAAATTTATACTTTTCAGATTTAACATTTTTTATTAACAACAACGATTCATAATAAATAATTTGACCAAAAGAAAAAGAGACAGAAATCACTAAGTAGAAAAAACACTTAAAAAGGAAATACATCAGCAAAAGTCTGGAAAACACAAACGCAAAACACAATCTTTAGCATTAAATAAAAAATAGTATCGGTGACCGAGAAGCCACAAGGACGATAATACTTCGCTAGACGACCGTTTAGTCGAAAACAAAAAAATGCCCGAAAAAACCTCATGAGTTGATATGTTTCACTACTCGAAGATAGTATATTTCAGACCTCTAGAAACATAAAAAAATTGGAAATTAAGCCGTCAAAAATACACCAGAAAAACAATAGTTCGAATAATTAGATATTCCCAGAAATTAGTCAAATTCTAAGGTACCGAAAAAAAACAAGGTCCGGCCAGGATTCGAAGACCGGACCTTAAAATCCCAAAGCACGCGCTTTTTCGCTGTACAAGCGTGAAGGGTTTCGAAGGTTTTGATGTTCCATAAAAAAGCAAGTTCAAATTCTTATAAGCTATTTACTGAATAAAAGTCTATTTCGCGATTACAAGTCATTTGCTCTCGCAAGGAAATCACAATATGTTGTCAATAAAAATTTATACTCGGTTAAATCATAAGCTCTTCGAAAATCAGGAACATTCTATGATTGACACTTTTTTGATACACAGAGGTGATGCGGATATTCAAACTATTCGTGATACCAACTGAATACAAAATTTTAAGCAAGCGGACAGAAAATGAGACCGAACAAAGACAATTGGTTGAAATCAAATTCTGAACTTCATACATTGGTCGCGAATTAAGTTTATTTTGACGCAAAACTGTTAAGAAACACTTTCGCAAAAAATCTACTTTCGACTCTAAAACAAAAAAAATGATACAATAAAAGGCAAGTAAGCCGATCTACTATGAGCGGAAACCATTTAAGCCCAAAAAAATGAAACGAAGAATAATCACAAAATTGGAGCTGGTTGATTTGAAAATTATAGAAATAAATAAATACTCGCGAGTAACGCACCTCCGGTGCTTCGAATTTTCAACAACTCAAAAGAACTGTTCTTTGAGTGTACTCTGACAGCACCCATTTACAGGGTTCGTAATTACAAATTTTGCAAGTTTTTTATTCAAGTTTTTTATACAAATTTTGAAGAACCATAAAATTTGTGAAATTTTATAGTTCTACAAAAAAATTAAAATGAACAAAGAAACGTCATATCTGCGAAACTGAAAGCAATTTAGCAGTCGCATTTGGACGCAAGATTTGCAGCTCTTGAGAGTAACTTCAAATTATGTTAAGTTTTTCATTCGTTTTTTAATTCAAATTTTGAAAAACCATAAAAATTTGTGAATTTTTTTTATATCAAAGTTTATAATGAATTAAGAAACATCAGATCTGGCAAACTGAAAGCAATTGAGCAGTCGCATTTGGACGCAAGATTTGCAACTCCTGAGAGTACTCTTACAGTACCCAACTACAACATTGGGAAATTCAAATTTTGAGAGACTTCACCTTAAATTTTCTAAAAAAAGAAACCAGAAAAAAATCACATTTCGATAACCGAAATTTGAGCATTCTTTTTTGATGTCAATATTCGCAATCTTTGAAAGTACACAACTACAGGGTTGGGAATTTCACTTTGACGAATTATTCTGCAATTTGAGTTTCTGAAAAATTTCCAAAAAATCACAAAAAATCGTTATATCTCTTCAACAAAAATGATTTGAGCATTCTTAATTGGAAGCCGAATTTGCAACCCATGAAATTACTCTGACAGCCCCCCCCCCCCCCCCCCCCCCCCCAGTACAGGTTCGAAATTTCAAATTTAAAAAAAAAAAATTATTTTTCACGAAAACTTTTTGAAAAAATCACAAAAAAGGTCATATCTGAAAGCTGCAAGATTTTGAACAATCCTATTTGGAGGCAAAATTCGCAACTCCTGTGAGAACCCTGACAGAGCCTCACTACAAAGATGATAATTTCAATTTTTGTGAAATTTTTTATATCTAAGTTTTCTGAAAAATGTTGAAAAAAAAAAATCCTAAAAAAAACGTCATATCTCGAAAACTAAAATAATTTGAGCAGCCTGTTCAAAGGCAACATTTGCAACCACCTGAAAAAACCCTCACATATTCCAATAACAGGATTGATATCTTCAAAGTTTTGGAACTTTGTAACATCTAGGTGTTTTTGAAAATTTCCTAGAAAATCATAAAAAACGTCATATCTCGAAAACTACAAGGATTTGAGCAGTCAAATTTGAAGGCGAAATTCGCAACTCGTGAGAGTAACCTGACAGAGCTTCACTCCAGAGATGGTAATTTCAAGTTTTGTAAAAAAAAAATTTATATCTAAGTTTTCTGAAAAATTTTGAAAAAAAAATGCAAAAAAACGTCTACCTCGAAAACTACAAGGATTTGAGCAACCATAATCAGAGGCAAGATTTGCAACCCCTCGGAATACCCTCAAAAAATCCAACAACAGGATTGAGATCTTCAACCTCTAGGAATTTTTTAAGAATCTAAGTTTTTGAAAAATTTTTTGAAAAAATCACAAAAAAACTTCATATCTCGAAAACTACAACGATTTGAGAAGTGAGAGTTGGAGGCAAGATTCGCAACCCCAGGGAGTACCCTGACAGCACCCAACTACAGGGTAAGACTTTCAAAAATGAGAAATTTTTCAAAATTAAGTTTTCCCGAAATTTTTGAAAAATCTAAAAATTGCCTATCTCGTAAACTAAAAGGATTTGGTTATTCATATATGGAGGACAACTCTGACAATATCCTACTATTGGGCTGCTAATTTCAAACTTGATGAATTTAACACTGAATTCAAACTGAAAAATTGAAAAAAATCCTAACCATTGCAATATACGATATAGCTTAAACGTGAAAAATATTCTTTTGTTAAATAAGCGAAAACAAGACGTTAAAAAATCTTAAGCATGGTGAGATAGTGAAATCATGGTGAGATAGTGGCCGAGAAATCTTATTAACAGAGGCGAAGCCGAGCTTCGCATCAGCTGCAAAAAAAAGCAAACAAGCCATTGCAAACTAGCCGACTAAATGAGACTAAATTAGATCTATGAAAAATTTATCATGTTCATCTCTTTTTTTTTGTAACATTCAAAAATAAGACGTTGAAAAAGCTTATACTTGGAGAGATAGCGAAGCCCGCATTTAAATATATAATAGATATCCTCCAACAGGTAAAACTGTTTAAAAGGAATAAAAATCCATGTATGCATTCGCAAATAGGCCGAGAAAAAGAAAACGAACGATAGCCTGGCAATATAAAAATTACCCAAAAAACTTCGCATTAGCGACCCATGTTTTGTCATTCCAAGCATGGACGTTACCATTATGCTAAGAAAGAATCAAAATGAGTGGCAGCACTTTAATGTATTAAAAAGTCTTGTACCCGGTCGCAATACCCTTTCTATCTGCTCTGCAATGAAATTCTCATGTTTTACAATGGTCTTAAAAACAGCTTTCAGGTTGGTTATAGCAAAGCTTTTCAAGAAAAACATATCTCGGAAAAGATGAAGGGAATCAGAGGTAAAAGGTCCAGTAACACATTAATAGCAATCGTTTTAACGCTTTTCAATCACACTAGCTTCCTTCTGTCACAGAAATGACTTGAATTTCAACAAATTTACTTGTAAAAAGGTCTCTTTGAAGCTCTCATGTACCACTTCACATCCTGTTTAGCTTAAGTGTGCAGTTTTTGACATATTTTTGGGGAAATACGATAAATTTGATCGAAAAACGAGTTTTCTGACTTTCTCTCATGGGCTCTCAAAAGGTACATGGGCTCTGAAAACTAATTTCCAAGTGCGTTAGTCAGTACCAAAAGCGGCTTGTCCGGTCAATTATGAAGTCAATTTTGCAAAGCCGTTCACTGTATTGAAAAAAAAAACATTTCAGCAATCTCTTAAATAAAGTGATCAATTTGCGATCAATAAAACATCAATTTACGAGAGCAAAAACAACTCATTTTAAGAGGACTTACTCTTTTAGACAGGAAATTATATCACATAGGCCCTGAACAATCCACTTCAATTCAATATCGTATCACTTTATCAAATGGCAGCCGAAATAATTGACCGATATGAACAAATTGTTTTGAAACGACGACCTAAAAAAGTAGAATCATATAAATTTCTTCAAGTCTGATGGCTTATGGAAGAAAAGGTAGTGATTCGAGTCTTTAAATTGATAAATATATCCAAATTGAAAAATTCATACGATATGTAGTTTATAGAGGACAATTGATCATGTATAACAAAATCTACTAAAACTATTAGCAAAAGTAGGACAGCATAAAATATTTCACTATCAATAAATAAAGGTCATCATTTTCCTGCAAGATAATTCTCACGAGGAGCTTCAAAAAGTATAAGCATTGACTAGGAATAACTTGTCTTCTTCGTTTCTGACCATTTCCACGACCTTGTTAACCTAGTGGCGAAATGATACAAAAGCTGATACATTCAGGAAACATCAACTTATATGAATAAAAAAACTGAAGCGAAGAAAGTAAAAAAAGTCTTTTAAACGTTTTGGCAGAGTTCAGAAATTCAATTAATTCAACTAAAAAAGGTGGACCAGTTTTTTTAAAGCTTTTCGAACCCCTCCCACGGAAGAAAAAACTGTACCCACTATTAGTTGTGTAAAAAACTACATTATGTACCAATAACACTTGTATCATTTCGAATTGACTCCACCCACCTTTCCGATGGCGTCATCTTTGCTGATGACAGGCGTGAAGCAACAGTACACCTCGAAGATACTTGTCAGCCAACCCAGGATTATTTCGGAGTCGGTAGCTTGATACACTATTTTGAACGGTCTCTGGCCTAAAACCAGCAACATTTAATGCTTCAGAAGAAATCCAACAGACTGTTGAAAAGAACCAAGGAACACAATTAAACAGTTAAAATACTGACGTTTTTGAAAAATCTCATTTTGCGAATCTCCAAGAACAGTCAACAGACAGTCAGAAAAGAGTCAATGAGAACAAAAAGAGTCAGTGAACAAAAAAAACCAATGAGTTCTAGAAAAAATCTCAACTTCCGAACTTCGAAGAAAAAAAGATGGCCTTAAAGCTCTTTGCATTTCTAGAACAGTTTATGATTAACACTACTTTGATAAAATTAACCCAATTTGAGAAACCTGGATAAAGAGGTTTTAATATTTTTTTAACTTGAGAAAACTGGATCAATTGGTTGAACTTTTTTTTTCGTTGGCAAATCTGATAATTAAATTCCATTTTCGAAAATAGAAGTCGATGACGTTTTTTTTGTGACCTTTCGCTGTTCGATACTGGAAGTTGCCTTTCTTTCGACAAAAGAATTGAGCTGAACTTAGAACGAAATCAAAAGTCAAACAGTAAAAAGTTTGAGCCTGAACAAATTTTAAGACTTTTCACGCAAAAACAAATCATCACGACCTATATAAGAGTCTGAGCTACCGTCATCGACAATTAATAAAATCAGGGTCTCTAAATATGCCAAATTTTCTTATTTCGTCAATCATTCGTCCAATTTTCAGATTTTTGATTAGTCGAAGAGCGCTTTAAAAATCTTTCGGCTTAAAAGGACCAGATCGTAAATACTCCTGGTTTACACGCTGTAGAAGGCTACTTTGAAAAAAAAGATTCCTTGATTGCAATCTTATCTAAGATTTAGCAAGATTTTGCTGACGATTTTTGTTTCTCACAGCCTTTAACTTATTATATGTTATAGTGTCATCAAAAAATATTTAGCTTAAATTGTGGTACTTCTGATTTCGTACTAATTTTATGCAAGCAAGTCAGTTAAGTAAAAATTAACCAGCAGCCCCAGTTTTATCAAAAAAGCTTGTTTATGGCGTAACCTTCGGTTTATTTATTTTATTGACTTCAAAAAGTAGATGATTTTTGGGTGCTAAAAATTTTTCTAAAACTTAATTTCAATGCAAGTTTTCAAACATTGCTCCTAGCTATCAGAGCAAGCATATGGACTTTGTTCTCAAATCGTTCTTTATGAGTAATATTTTGGCTCATCGAAAATTTGCAATTGCCTATTAATGTTGCCCAGTATATTTTTCCATGAAATGCTCTATTAATCAATTAGCGTATCATCAGTCAAAACTAGTGGAAAAATTTAAACGCAAATTCAAGTTTTTAAATCTCTGAATTACCTAATTTCAAGAATCATTTTGGACAATGAAAATAATCTGAAAAATCATCTCTGAAAGTCTCAGTTTTAGATTTGAAGCTTTTATCAGATTATTGTAGGTCTAAATTTTTCACCATTTAAAATAAATTATTACACAGAGGCGATGCTTTGCTTTGCAAACACTAGCAGCGAGAACAGAAAAAGCAGCTCTTTGAAGTGCTATAAGATAGAGTAGAAATAAGCCTCGAATAAGTAAAATTGCGATCTCGAGATTATGAGTCTCATGCACTCAGCCACGTACGCTTAATAAGACTCAAACACTAGCCACATATAAAGCAGAGAACACATTCTATGAAATTTCCAACACTACAGATCTAGATTATAGCAAAAGTGCAACCAAATAAGTGAGCATTTTCCACTTTTTATTTTGTTCACCAGTGTAATATTGAGATATCTTTCTTTTTCGTGATAATTATCTTTTCTCAAAAGGATAACCCTGTTTACACGTATTTACCCGAGTGTAACTTGTGATGGATCTGCTTGTACAACTGGAACAGCCTGCACTGCTCTACAGGAGTGTCGTAAGGCAGACTGAAGGCAGGAGCTGTGAACTGCAACAACTGGCGCTGCTTGTACATGAAATGTCTCAAATCATACAGACCTATATGTATACCAGGGGTGTTAAACACGGAATGTTAATTTCTGAGGGATAACTAGGTAGAAAAAAAACAGAATGATCCGACCATAGTCTTTGACAATAGAAGAAAAAAAATTCAAATTACTGCACTAAAAAATCTGAATAAAAAATAACCCAGGTTAATTCGACAGCAAGAGTAAGATAACCCGTTTGAAAACAGTTTAAAAATGACTATAAAACAAAACAAAAAATTTTGCAGAAAGTTTCTGAAAATTGAAGTTTTTGATTCCCAAATTGACGCTAAAAACTACTTTCTAACTTAACTCAAGTAAACTAAGTTTTCACGGCTCTAATTAAGGATAAATTAATTATTACAAGCCTTCACGCCCACCTTATTAGATTGAAATTAGACCAAAAATCAAAAAATTGTATACTTGTTTTTCTCAAAACTGAGAACATTCGAAATTTTTAAATGTCGTTTCAATCACGACTGAAGGGGCTTTCCGATGATTTTTTGTGGTACCTGATTTAGCGTGGAAAACTGAAAGAAAAACTAAAACACACCCGAATACAAATTTCCTCCACATTTTTCAAATGGTCGGAACAAAAATGATTTTAATTAGATAAAAATATTTTTCCGCATTATAAAGTGATTTTGCGTGTCAGGGAGTCCACAAATCACTGAATGTCATAAGTTAAAATAAAAAGTGAAGACTAATAGCACGGATTGCTATGTTTTTTTCCGCACTGATCAATAATTCTAGATCCAAATTGACCGACACAATTTCTCTTTAAGGTATTTCAAATCATTCACTGTTTTGTTTTTATCGATTAATTAGTTAGAACTATTGCAACAGTTTTTGGACACAACTCAATTTGAACACCCCTGTATGTGAAACATTGAAAGTGTCGGTCTCTCTCAGCCCCAATGCAATTTCGTGGAAGCAGTTGTTTCTCCGTAATTTGGCTTTGATTTGATCCTTGACCTCTTTTAGCCTGGGAAATGCCTCGCAATCTACACTCAGCATAATCAAACACGTGTTCTCGTCTAGATAGGAAACAAGTGCATGAAGAAATCCATTTTCGTCAAATCCTGCAAACAAAAATGAGTTTCCATACAAGGCAGTGTTTGTTTTTGGGCCAACCAGTACTTTTTTAAAAAAAAAATCCTCCAATTCTTGTTCAACAGATTCTTTGTTCATTTTTCGAAAACCAACAACAAAAGCTGAAACCAGTAGATTTTCGACTATAGATATTAACAAGCCCTTTATATATCCTACCACTCTTCATATCTTAAAGAAAGAACCCTAAAAAGAAACATCAGCAACTCTTAAGTATAAGCACACTTGAAAAACGTTAATTAAACGAGGAAAACTGAAGTGTATGAAACATGTACATACGAACATAGCCAACTGATAGTTGGAAAAGAGCAGTGAACGCAAGGAAACTGAAACCTTCAACTTTTGAATTTCGAAGAAAAAAGATGGCCTTAAAGCTCTTAGAATTTGAAGAGCAATTTATGATGGACACTTTTTTTTGCTAAAATCAACCCAATTTGAGAAAACTGGATCAATAGGTAAAACTTTAATTTCGCTGGGAAATCTGATAATTAATTTCCATTTTTGAAATCGTGTCGATCACGTTTTTCGTGACCTTTATACTTTTGCTGTTCGATAGTGGAGTTTGCCTTCCTTTTAACAATGGAAATGCACTGAACTTATAAAGAAATCACAAGTCAAACTACGAAAAATCAAAATGTTAAGACTTTTTTAAGACTTTTTCCTGAAAAAATAAATAAAATCACCAAAACCTATATAAGAGTACTCACTAAAAAGTATGGTTTTCGTGAAAAATTTAATGATTTATTTCAATTATCAAACAGTCAACAATATGCTGAAAACTCAAAAGGAACTTCCAGTAAAAAAAAATAAACCGCTATTGAAGTGTCGAAAAGCTCGGTTATTGACCTCTACTGCTCTTACCTTATGTTTAAAATATTAATAAATGCTAATCGTCTGAATTGGGTAACCGTGCGGACGACACTGCCTTTCTTCCTTCTTTTTAAACCACAAAGTAAAACAATGATTTCAAAAATTATTTAAAAAAGAGCGAGCACTCGTGCCTGCACAACAAACTGTCGATTAACTCCACGAGATGTGAAATCCTGCTGTATGGCAAACCTTGTTTGGATGAAAAACTTACTCTAGCACGTTAAACAGCCAGTATTACTAGGTGTTGCAAATACTTAGTTGTTTAACTTGACAATCAGCTATTTTAGAGAGCAACAACAGCTTGAGACGTTAAAAGATTAACAAGCTTCTAAGTTCGAACATCAGAACTGCTTGTGTAAAATGATAAATTGAATGGACCTGGAAGACAAATGGGGAGCCAGTGGGCGATGTCAGTGTCGCGGAAGTTCCCTGTTCTGGCGACTAGATTGAACAGAATGTGCATGTCCGATGGCTGCAACATACAAGATCGCATATGGGAGTACTGGATCAGTTGGTTTCTTGCCATCAACACGTTGAACACTAGATCCTAAAAAATCAACACAATTGTTCCATGACAGTTTTTGTGACTTGTTGACGTTATTTCAAAATTTGCATCGTGAAAATGAAGAAAGAGACTTTTTAATGGTTCTTCTTCAAATTTGAGCACTATCATTCCAACCCAAAATGCATTTTTTCAACATTTTAGCTAAATCAATCCAACAGAAAGGCATTATTTTGCATTATATGCAAGATCGATCCAACAAAAACGCAACTTTAACATTTCAGACTTATGAAAAAATATGATTCTGCAGCTCGTTGCAGAGTCCAATTGCAATAAATGTCACAACACTCGGTCAAAAAATATCCGACATTGTAATTGATTCGAAAGAGCAGAACTAAAAACCGAATCAATTAATAATAGATGCACAATCGTAAAAAAAATAAACGCTGTCAAAAATTTCTTTGAAAAGGTCCCTAACCCGGGATCTGAATATTCTAGAACATTTGAAATAGTTTGAACATAAAATTAACTAGCATTGGTCTGTTCCACTTAACTCTGACGTTATGAATAATATCTCTTTAAGGTCAATTTTTCGACCGCGTGACTTTACATCTATTTTTCATGACTTGCCTTGACATCTACGACTAAACTCCTTCCGATGAGATCTCTGATGTTTCCCTTCAGTTTGACACAGTGCACTGAGCCTAAGAGCACACTGGGGTTGTTCTCCATCATGTCACACATCCCGTCCAGATACTTCCGACCACTGTCGTCCAGCAGACGCCTACATTCGTCCAATATACCATCATAGCCATATTAATAACCAACATAGCCAAAAGGCTGGCATAAATGGCGTTTCTGAGATCAAAGAACAGTAGAAATCATCTATTTGCTTTAATTTATAAAACTATATAGCTTTACAGCTGATGAATAAAAGTCAGGACATTTATATGCGTGGCAATTATTTCTTTTTAAAGGCCAAGTCAGATTATTTCCATTTACAAATACTTGGAGCCTTAAACAGTCTCGTCTCAGATCATTTTTTCCGAGAGAACTTTCTTGATACAAACTGTTTCGGAAAGAAACTCATTGTTGAACTGTCTTTAAAATGGTACCACTGTTGACACCATGTGAGTTCTTTTCGAAGCACAAAAAATCATTTGGAGAAGAAGTCTGGCATAGGCCATAGTTACTAGCTACATTCCTATGAAAGAATGAAGAACACTAATGCAAGTGATAACAGCAGCCGACCTTAGATCGTAGTTCTCTCTGACTTTGAATCTGGCCTGTAGCATCTTGGCACTGACTAGTGATATGACCTGGTTGTACATGTAGGACAGCTGTCTCGCCAACTGGTTCACGGAGTCCTTCAAGCCACTCACTCCAACCAATATCAGAGGTGACCTCACCAGGAAAACGAACAGTCTGCAGCCAATGAAGTGAAATGATTAAATGCAGCGGTGAAAATAGTCTCTTGATATTATAATTTGATTCTTTTGCCGCTCTCTTACAAAACCAGACCATTTTTTTGTTCAAACCTTGGACTCAGCAACATTACGAATCAAGATAATACGAAATTAACCGCCCGTCCTTTGAACATTTGAATAAAACTTGCTAATCACAAGCGTTTGCAAAGATTTGGACCCCGTAAACAAAGTTTATGGTGAACGAAACGAAAAAAAATACTGGTGGGTGGAAACGGGAAAAGTGGAGGGCGCTACAAATCTAATAAAATTTAGTGTACATGTTAGAGTGTTTATAATATGCGGGTAAAATTGCCTGTCCCGTAAGATGTATAATTTCACCAACCTGTCTTTGGTTCTGATCGAACTTAGGGTGTCATTTTCTACACTGATGAATGAAACTAGCGCAGTCATCACTCCGAACAGAGGAAGATGTTCGTCTTCTTGACTGTGCCGCGTGTAGATCGGTTTACCTGCCGAGCTGAAACACCCATAAACTATTTTTAAAAATCAGAACTCCAAAGCGTTATCTACTATTAATGCTTTATAATTCGTGTCAAAAAACTTCATCCGTAACATACATTAACAGAAGATGCCGGAAAAAAATGGAGATCTGCCGGTTGGTAGCGAAAGAAGTAAAGTTTCTATGAAAGTTGGCGATTAAACCGGGAGCTAGAGATCTCTTGAAAATCTACAAAACCTGTTTTATCTTATCCTACCTCAGAATGAACATGTGTTTCTCCTGTGTCATCAAAATCTGTCTCGCTTTGATTGCACTCAACTCCTCTTGACTCTGACCGGAAATAACGAGCGTCCCACTCCGATTCAGGTGCACCCCATGTTCGACACTTGCATACTTCGAGGAGTCCTCGCTACTACTCGTTATTGACTGGCTCAACTCATTATCTGAAGTGTCGGTGGAGTTTTGGAACCCTGCACGACGTTGGATCTCCTGCAACCATATATGAGCAGATAAAGTTGGCAGTTTGAAGTAACTTGATAAAAAACCTGACCGATAAACAAAAAACACAGCCAACACTTAAATTTCTGTGTTCACTAATGTTAGTTTTAACTTAAAAAACATGTGAGCTTAAGCTCTTTGAATATCAAGAATCTTCTATGATTGACACTATTTTGAGACACAGAGACGAAGCGGAGCATCAGACTTATTATAACCGGCAAACAAAGCAATTTCAGCCAGCGACGGAGCTAATTCGGCAAATGAAAAATTCGAAAAATGTCCGAAAACTATATCTACAAAAATAGCCAACAGAAGATTGGCCAAGTATAATTTGGAAAATTTCAAAGAAACAGTATATCAGGTTGAAGCTCTGTTAATTTCAAGAACAATTTATGACGGACACTTTTTTGATACAATTAACTATTAACAGATTGATTTTCAAATTGAAACAGCTTCATACAACAATTTGAAGTTTTCTTAAAACGTGAAAATCAACAGCCAACAGAAAGTTATTCAATGAACGCAACGAAACAGAAAAAAAACTTGGCTAACAAATTTCAAATAAAAATAGATATCATTAAAGCTCTTAGAATTTCTAGATCAATTAATGATTGGAACTTTTTAGACAAAATTAACCCAATTTGAGACCTTTATATTCCGCTGGACAATCTGAAAAATTATATCCTTTTTCTAAACTTGAGGTCGTTCACGTTTTTCGTGACATTTTCAATTTCGCTGTTCGATAGTAAAGTTTTCCTTCCTTTTATAAAAAATAAATCAAATGAACAGGAAAAAAATCGAAGATCAAATCGCAAAAAAAAAATCATATTTGAGCATGAAAAAAATCCAAAAAATCATCACGACCTATATAAAAGTCTTCACCACGACCATTGAACAAAAAAGGACAAGCTGTTCTTTTAGGAGAAAATCCGAGTGAGTAAGAGATCACAAATTGAAGGAAAAAAATTGCTCAAATCAAAATAAAAAAAACTGCTCTTTAGCAGCTAAGCCGACAAAAAATGATAATAAAAAATGAGCAAAAGAAGTGGGTTCTGGCCGGATTCAAGCACAAGACATTTGTCGTCTTAAGCATAGAAGTTACCGCTATCCAAGTAACCAGGTAGGGGTAACTGAGTTCTGGTCGGATTCTGGGTTCCAAACGGATTTTTTTTAAGTTTGCAAAAAGAAATGGGTTCTGGCCGGATTCAAGCAGAGGGCATTTATCATCCTAAGCATTGAAGTCAGCGCTACCGAACCATGGAATGTTTCAGAACAATCAAAATTAATTTTTTTTTGAAATTTATTCATCTTTTTTGGGCAATTCGTACCTTCGTCATTGAAGTGTGTAACTGAAAACTTCCTTTCTACTTCAAAAACAAATTTGAACTTTCTCTCAAAACATACGAACTGAATAACCGAAAACTAACTGAATTCATATTTAATCAAAAACGTAGAACTAAATACTATGGAGCAAGGTAACGAAATAACTTCTAATTTTCAAACATTCGGCGCCAACACTGACCTTAACTGTCAGCCCCGATGGGTGTCTTTTCAAGGGCGATATCAAGGTCTCATCCACACTGCTTTCCACTCCGTAGTCCCCACTGTCAGAAAGGAGAAACGACTGCAACTCTGATGTAACTACACGCGCAGACGGCAAGCTTATGTTTCCGTTCGGATCCGAGACCAGATTCTGCGCATCTTCGTCGTGACTGATGTCTACAAAGTCATGGTCACTGCTAGCGTCATCACTGTTCTCTATACTGCTCTCATCTCCGATGTTAATTGAGTTCATTTAAATCACGTGAGAAGGTAATGCTTCTGTGAAATACTCATCAAATCTTAAACAGCAACTGCTTAGAAGAACAGCTTACAGCACAAAAACTTTTCACAGGACCAGATTTTCTGGAAATTCTGTTAAGCCAAGCGTCACACTATTGCAATACAAAAAAGTATGAAATAAAATGACTGAAAAACTGCTACTCATCCATTCATTATTCGAAATTTCATTTAAACTAGATGCAAAGCCTCATTTCGAGATCTTCAACACAGCTTCATTCCACAAAAGTTCTATTGAAAAAAGTGACAAGCGAAAGAACAATTTGTTTAAAAAATAGCAAAAATAAAATTCTTTTCAAAAACTCAATACATAGCCAACAATGAATTGAAAAAAAAAAATGAATAAGAAAGCCCAAAAAAGGATTGTCAGCTATTTGAACCATACTCAACTTTCGAATTACAATTTCAAGCCTCCTTTATGAGCGCCATTTTCTTTCATTAGCGGTTTAGACAATTATAAATTAAAAAAAGGCGTAAAATTGTGCATTTGACATTTCTTTCATTAACCAAGTATCCGCAAGAAATAATCAAAAAAGCAACAAGTTCAACTCACATCAAAAATTTAACCTTGGTTAGAATGCATAAACCACTCTCACGAGACGCGCAATGAACCAGTTGTAAATCAGACAGAATAAGAAAAAATGAATCTAGTGTGTTCTGGTTTTCGTAAAACAGGATGTCTTAAATTTTGTAAGTCATTTTGGAATTCAAAACAAAATTTTAGTCAAAACAAAAAAGACTGAAAAAATTCAATAAAAAACCTCATGAAATTGAATAAGAAAAAGGAGACAAGAAAAATCGATTAGTTTTTAAAATAATCAAGCGGAATTCCAATTCGAAAACCCAGAACTTCGATCAGACAAAAAAGATAGAAATGTAGAGAAAAAATAGCTAAAGTCCAAGGAAAAAGTTAAAGGCACATATTGAAAATATTTCTAAAATTGAATGACCTAAAAACGAAATGGACATTATCTTAGCTACAAAACATAGAAAAAAAATTTAATATTTCGTTTAAAATTTTTTTTCTTCGAAAACCACCAAAAATTATCATTGAATTTTAATTCATTGAATCTAAATTAAAGAGGCGAGCGTAGCCAAATAAATCTTCAACATGAATGCAACTAGAGTAATTACAATAAAATTGAGAAACAACTAACATTGACATTTCAAAATGAAAACTCAAAATTTGAGCTGAATGTTTAAAATGTTTCAATAGAAATACTTCCTGAATGGAAAACACTCCAAGCTGGGTCAAAAACCCAGCCCATCGGTTTTGGTTAAAAAGGAATTTAACAAATAAAAAATCAGTTGACGCTAAAAAAACAGACTTCAAACAATTATATCAAAAACATGCCCAAAATTCATGAAGTCAAATGACTTGCATCTACAACCTACATCGCATCCGTAAATTTAAAAAGAACGAGCACAAAATGAAATTATTAGTACGAACTAAAATGCAGGCATAATTGCGTCACGTGATGCATGGACGCTTAGTGCCGAATTGTGTGAACTAATATCGTTCAGGGAGAGAAAGTCAAGTACCCCTTGCAATACCCAAGCTTCTCGCAAAGGTAATAAAACTAGTCCAATTAGAGAAAAGTGGATCATAGGGTGACTTTTGTTATTTCACAGTAAAATACAAAAATCAACTTCCACTTTCGAAACTTAATTAACAAGTTGGGCACTTTGGTCATTGGAGAGCACAATTTGAATTCCGTTAAGCAATTCTGTGAACAAAATTCTTTCCGGGAAAGAAAGTCTAGTACACCTATGTGAAACAAAAGCTCCTCGCAAAGGTAAAATAACGAATCCAATTTGATAAAAGTGGGTCATAAGGGGACTTTTCTTATTGCACAGTAAAATACAAAAAGCAACATCCACTTTGAAAACTTCAGTCACCCATGTTTTTTCGCAAGAATTTGGACACTTTGGTCACTGGAGAGCACAATTTGCATCCGTTAATCAATTCAGTGAAGAAAGTTCTTTCTGGGAAAGAAAGTCTAGTAACCCTATGCAATATACAAGCTCCTCGCAAAGGTAATAAAACAATTCCACTTTGAGAAAAGTGGGTCAATAGGTGACTTTTATTTCACAGTAAAATACAAAAATCAACATTCACTTCCACTCACGTAACTCAATTTTTTCGCAAGAATTTGGGCACTTTGGTCATTGCAGAGCACAATTTGCATTTCGTTCAGCAATTCAGTGAACAAAGTTCCTTCTAGGAAAGAAAGTCTTGTACATCTATGCAATACCCAAGCTCCTCGCAAAGGTATAAAAACAAGTCCACTCTGAGAAAAGTGGGTCATTAGGTAACTTTTCTTATTTCACATTAAAATACAAAAATCAACATCCGCTTTCAAAGCTTTAAAAACTCACGTTTTTTTCGCAACCATTTGGGCACTTTGGTCATTGGAGAGCACAATTTGCATTCCGTTAAACAATTCGGTGAACAAAGTTCTATTGGGGAAAGAAAGTCTAGTACCCCTATGCAATGCCCAACCTCCTCGCAAAGGTAATAAAACAAGTCCACTTTGAGAAAACTGGGTCTTTCAGTGACTTTTCTTATTTCAGCTTAAATTACAAAAAACAAAATCCACTTTCAAAACTTAACTCACGTTTTTTCGCAATTATTAGCGCACTGTGGTCATTGGAGAGCACAATTTCCATTCCGTTGAGCAATTCGGCGAACAAAGTTCTTTCTGGGAAAGAAATTTTAGTAACCCTATGAAATACCCAAGCTCCTCGCAAAGGTAAAAAAAATAGTCCAAATTGAGAAGTGGATCATTAAGTGACTTTTCTTATTTCAGAGTGCAATACTAAAGTCAACTTCCACTTCCAAAACTTAGGTGAGTTGAGTTTTTTTGCAAAATTTTGGGCACTTTGGTCATTGGAGCAAAATTTGCCTTCCGCTAAGCAGTAAAAACTGCACTGGAAAGAAATCAAAAGCCAAACTCTGACAAAAAATCAAGAAGACCTACAGAAGCGTCTTCGCGCTGTTCCCGGACACTTGAAAACTTGCAATTTTAACACAGGTGAAGCTGAGCTTCGCACCATATGCGATTGAACACACTCAAAAAAATAGTCGAAAAAAAGGAAAACGTTGAAAAAAACTATTTCTACTTAAAATTATTTTCGTATGTCTCGATGGAAGTCCATTCTAGGCTAACATGCCAGAAATTTGAGCATTTAATTAGCAACGGAACATATTTACGAAGAGGAAACAACGTCAAAAAACTTCGAGCAGACAAGTTCAGCAGAAAAAATATGATTTCATAAAAAAAACTTTGCAATTTTACGTCCCACCTGAGACAAGAACGAACGACACTTGCACATTCAACTACAAGGATGTGGAAAAAAGAAAAGAAAAATCACGAAAACAACTACAAGAAAAAAAATCAGTGATGTGGCAACTAAGTTAACAATTTTTGAGCAGACACCTGTTTATCCGAAAAAATTATTGATTGAAAAAAAAATAACTTTCAAGTCCACCTCCCTGAAACAACAAGGAACAACACTTGAAAACGGATCAACGACCGAAAACCGATCAACATATTTTTTTTTCATTAGCGAACACAAAACACAAAAGGTTATTTCACTAGACTTTATTTTGTTGAAAATACCCAAAATTCGAGAAACTCAACAAATGCATTAGGAAACTTAGCAGACAGCAATTCAACTTGACATTGCAAAACGATGATTTCGTCTAGCAATTTTGATTTAAAAAATCAAAAAAAATAGAATTTATTATTTCTGATTTGCTGGCAATTTGGGCTTTTTTAATTCAATTTAAATAGCTAATTTTCAATACAAAATGGACTAAGAAGCGATGAACAAAAATTTTCAAAAAAAATTGCGAAAATTTATAAATTCAATTACTTACACCAAAAAATATATGAAAAAAAAACAACTGATTGACCAATCAAAAGCATCAAAGGTTTAAAACAAATTCATTGTGCAAACTGAAAAACATAACGAAAAATTATGAAAACTATAAAAAAAAACTTAAAAAAATCGAAAATTTTTTTTACTATGTTTAATTATTTCACTTTTAATTATAAAAAAATGGAAAATTGATTTAAATTTTTCCAAAACATGTTGTAAAACTTTGACCATTATTACAAAAAAAAACGAAGTAATTGAAAAAAATCAATCGGAAAATAAGCAGACGGAATTAAAGCCGACAAGATTTCGGCACAAAAAATACTATTAAAAGAACTCATAACAAGCACACAAGGCCCACGCTTGAGCAATTTACTACATTTACTACAGCAAGAGTAATCAAATAGACGTTTCTCCGCAAAAAAAATTGCTCAGCAGAATCGATGAACCATTTAACTTGCTGAAACATTTAATTTAAAGTTTGAGCATTTAATTAAGCGTATTTAGTGCAGATGCGGTTTTTGGGTTTGACAAGACAGAGACAAAAAGTTCGAGGGATGCCAGGTACTTTTTTGCAAAATGAAAGATATCTTTTTAATAATAAATCTAAAAATACTGCATGTAATTCAGTTTGAAATATTTTTATCGGATCTAATGCAATCGGGTAGTAGACTTTTTTTTACAGTAAACAACTTTACGCAGAGATTTTTCTTTTGGATATTCTTATTTAAATCGTACTTTTGATCTTTCAGACACCATAATATGCCTGGTTGAAAATTGGGCATAGTGAACACAGTGGCGAAGAAGAGCTGAGACAAAAAAAAACGTTGGGACACCTTTAAAATTTTCGAAAATTCTTAAAACAAAACTCTTAAGACAAGGAAAGTCTAGTACCCGGTTGCAATACCCTTGCTTATCGTTTCCCGTTCAAGTTCCAAACACCCTCGCCCACGTCAAAAGACAAAAAAAAATTTAAATCTTTTTCGATTTTTTTATGGATTTCAGAGTTGTATTTGTGTTGGAAACCAACCCTCTGCGCTATCTGCCTTTCAACCGCCTTTTCTTGTTATTTTTGTTTCTGTCTCAGTAAATTTCTAATGCACTTTTACTAAATACAATGAGAAAAAAAAATTTAATAGTAAGTTTGAATCAATAATTAAGAAAGAATTCATAGATTAAATATTTTAAAACTATATAAAATAATTTGTAGGTAAACCATAACAAGGTATGTTAGCACCTTATACTAAATATTATAATTATACTGCAGCAGGTTACTGATTTGTGATTGATTGTCAAAACGCTATAAACATCAATGGAAGAAACAACAGTAAATAAGAGGATATATTTTCACCAACAATAGAACAAGATTTGCACTTGCTTGGTCCATTTTTCAAACTTTTAAGACTTTGACTCCACTTTCTTCGAAGCTTCTGTTTCATTCACTTTAGACCCTACAATAGCACCGCCTATTTTGCTCGCACCTTCCGATTTGGTCTCTGGGGGGAGTTTAACTGAAGAATCGTTAGACAGATACGCCTCATGAACTTGGGGGACTTCTCCCTGTTGGCCGAACACCTTCAATTTATAGAACATGAACTCTAGCATCTTCATGTCTTTAGGAGACACGTAGTGGAATGATATGGTGTAATTTCCACAACAGTCGGTGCCCTGAAACACGCCAACAGAACACATGATTACAGTTATTGTTTTGTTTACTTTTGATCACACCAAGACAAAACAAACAATAACATATAAAGGGAAACTTCGGAAATTTACATGCGTTACACCAATGAGATTAATCACTTCACAATACCCCGGAAAATTTCCACCAACCATCAACATGAAACTTAGCAATTGCTCGAAGATTCTTTTTCCAAAACACTGCAAACCATTAGAACAGCTAATAATAAATAATCATTGAAACATCAAATGCATCTCTTATATAAATGATTTCTTGCTATAAAAATGTGCACATATACATATGCAGAGGTACAGATTAAGAGAAATTAACACAATTATATTGAAGGGTTTAAGCTGCGAAACCAATTAAGAATTGATCATGGAAACATTTTTTACTAATCAACAAGTCTCAATTTATTCCGATCTAATGCACGAGAAAATTCAGAACCCAGTAGACCAAGGAAACAAAAAAAAATGAGAGAACGGCCGCAATAAGAATTGAACGAAAACAGATATTAAATTCCAATCCAAATTCTTCCGAATTGATATATTAGGCTAAAATCCAAGCGGCATCAATCTGTCAACAATAAACAGTCAAGTCTATTATGAAAGCATCACAAAAATGAACAAGACTGCTCGTATCAGGGCGAAGCCCTGAATGTTCCGACTGCTTTTTAAGGTTAATGGAGCAGCAGTAATAACATAAAAAATTAAATGAAATAAAATAAAAGGAAAATTTTTTTTTTCCAAAAGTTGAAATTTTTTATGAAAATGATCCCCCCACACGCCATATAAAGTACAAAAAGATAGATTTCGTTCCTTGTAACAAATCAATTATGGCAAATCAGCTTCTTTCAACCAATTTGGAACAATTTCTAAGACGGATTAACTCTCCTCCTTACGCGTTAATAGCGCGAAATATATCGCGCGTTAATTGTCCCAAATTGGCCAAAATGGCAATCTTCAAACCCCCATAACTTTACAAAAAATGATCACAGGTGAAATATCTTCTCAAATTTGAGCTCAGGACAACAATACCTTTTGAATGATATAAAAAGATTCCATCAAAAATGGCTAGTTAAAAAGTCGAAATTTGTCTGAAGAAAAAAAAACCCACCCCGAGCACAAATATTCCGTTACTTTCGTATCGAAAGTAGGAACAATAAAGCTAGCCGACAGAGACACTAGTCAAAACCTATTCTGAAAAAAATTACGTCTATTAAAATGTTCATACATTTTCCTTGAATATAATCAATTCTGTGAAAATGCAGAAAAGACAGTTGTTAACAAAAAATTGGCATTGAAACAAAAATTAATGAATCGTTTATATATACTTAAGGAAAAAATGCAACCAAATTGTTTTCAAAACTCAACAAGACTGCTCGTATCAGGGCGAAGCCCTGAATGTTCCGACTGCCTTTTAAGGTTTATTGAGCAACAGTAATACATAATACATAAAAAAAATTAAATGAAATTTTTTTTCTAAAATTTGAAATTTTTTGTGAAAAGCATCCCCCACACGCCATATAAAGTTTAAAAAAAAATAGATTTCGTTCCTTATAACAAATCAATTATGGCAAATAAGCTTCGTTCAACCAATTTGGAACGATTTATAAGACGGATTAAATCTCCGCTTACGCGTTAATAGTGCGAATTATATTGCGCGTTAATTGTCCCAAATTGGTCAAAATGGCAAACTTTAAACCCTCATAACTTTACGAAAAACAATTACAGGTGAAAAATCTTTTCAAATTTAATCTCAGGACAACCATGCCTTTCGAATGATAAAAAAAATTCCGCCAAAAATGGCTAGTTAAAAAGTCGAAATTTGTCTGAAGAAGAAAAAAACCCACCCCGAGCACAAATATTCAGTTACTTTCGTATCGAAAGTCGGAACAATAAGTTTCTTTGAAATTTTTTATGAAATTTTACGTTATATTTTATGAGGTACAAGTAGGATGGATAGTTGAATCCAAAAAAGTTGAGAATACAAAACGGTGCTATGTTACAATAGGTGGCAGCTTCACTTCAATTAGCTGGATCGCTTATTGCTATACTTCGAACAGTGTTTAAAATTTATTTCGAAAGCCAACTTGTTGGCAAAAAAATTGTTTAATTTAAATTTTTGAATAACATTTCATCTAGCAGAAAAACTCCTGTTTGATTTATTAAACAGGTATTATGAAAACGTTTTTTTTTTTCCAGATGAGATCTGGTTTTTTTTTTTTGAGACGCTTTTTTGAAAAATTCGCTTTCCCAAAAAACTACCCGTCAGATTCTCATAAAAGTGGTACCAATGGATTCAGTAGCGTTTCACCTACCTGCCTGCATGAAATTTAGGGCAATTTTTACCTTACCTCACCCCCTACGGTCTTAGAAAAGCTTCACAACTCGGTACTTTTTTTCACTTTTTGCCCATTTTTTCGGAAATTTTCGATTTCCTCAAAAACTACCCATCCAGATTTGGAATTAAGGGTTTAATCGATAGACCAGGTTGTAGGAAACTCCCCCGCACAAGCGGCTGGTCCTTAACTTACCTAGGGGAAGAGCTATAGACTTAGGAAAAGTCACTTTTTTGACTTTTTTCAAATCTTTCCGATTTCCTCAAAAACTACCCGTCCAGATTTGGGATTAAGTGTTTAATCGATAGACCAGGTTGTAGGAACCCCCCCTACACAAACGGCTCGTCCCTAATTTGTCTAGGGGAAGAGCTATACACTTAGGAATAGTCAATTTTTCGGTTTTTAGGCCATGTTTTCAAACTTTTTCGATTTCTTCAAAAACTACCCATCCAGATTTGGGATTAAGGGTTTAATCGATAGACCAGGTTGTAGGAAACTTCCCTGCCCAAGCGGCTGGTCCTTAATTTGTCTCGGGGAAGAGCTGTACACTAAGGAAAAGTTTTTTTAAAAGTTTTTTGGCATTGGAACAAAGATTCAATATACTTATTGTGTGTATTTTTATAGACAATGGAATCCGCTATGCTTACGTTTTCTCGCTTTTGCTTGGTGCTATTGGCTTTGTGTTGAGTTTTTTTGTATGGTTCGAAGAAGTCCAACGAAAAGTTCCACGAGTTACGCTAGTTCTCTTTAATCAGGTCGGTTTGTTCCAGAACGTTTTTGTGATGTCAGTTATAGTCAACATATTATAGTCATATTTGCAAGGCTTGGACAAAATTTAATTAATTCGAAAATTAAAGAGTCGTTAGAAAAATGAAAAATACTTTATTTCATTAATGTTAGCTGGTTTGTGAAACACACATTTCACTTAATTCTAGTGAATAATTATTCACATTGTTGAAGCATTGTGCATATGATTTTATTTTAAATATATTTAGCATGTAACCATGATTGATACGGTTTGCCTTGTCGCACTGTTAAAGGCCCGTTTAATTCACATTACGGTTGCCTTGTCGCACAGTGAAAGGCTCGTTTAATTTTAGTACGGTTTGCCTTGTCGCTCTGTGAAAGGCCCGTTTAATTCATATTACGGTTGTCTTGTCGCACTGTGAAAGGCTCGGTTTATTTGCATTACATTGTGGGTTTACAGCAAATCTAAATAGTCTTATTCTATATCTTGTCACACTTTCAGAAAAATGGCTCAGAAAGAAATTGACAACACTTAAAAAGTTGTTGACAATGTATTCTCGTCTATCCAGAGCAGGTTAGAAGAAGCTCTGTGTGAAGAAGACGACACAAACGTCAGGATTCGTGTGTAAGCTGTGCTGGAGTCGATGCCAGAAAAAATGGATACTGTAAATGGACACTTTAGATGTACGAAAAGTGCCTTCAACGCCGTTACAAAACGGTTAAGATCAGTATCCCGACCACGACCAGCAGTATTGCCACCAGCAGGAGAAGCAACCCCAAGCAAAGTTATGAGAAAGTTGTTTTTCTCTACATCAGGTACATTCCTCACCGAATCCTGAGTGATCTCAATCTTCGAAGGAAGATTTCAATGTTTCCATGATTTTAAATTATTTACGTTATGTTAATCAATGATGGTCATTAATAGAATTGTAAAGACATGTTCAGTTTGTTGTTTTTCTCTACATCAGGTACATTCCTCACCGAATCCTGAGTGATCTCAATCTTCGAAGGAAGATTTCAAGGTTTCCATGATTTTTAAATTATTTACGTTATGTTAATCAATGATGGTCATTAATAGATTTGTAAAGACATGTTCAGTTTGTTGTTTTTCTCTACATCAGGTACGTTCCTCGCCGAATCCTGAGTGATTTCAATCTTCGAAGGAAGATTTCAATGTTTCCATGATTTTTAAATTATTTACGTTATGTTAATCATTGATGGTCATGAATAGATTTGTAAAGACATATTCAGTTTGTTGTTTTTCTCTACATCAGGTACATTTCTCACCAAATCCTGAGTGATTTCAATCTTCGAAGGAAGATTTCAATGTTTCCATGATTTTTAAATTATTTACGTTATGTTAATCATTGATGGTCATGAATAGATTTGTAAATACATATTCAGTTTGTTGTTTTTCTCTACATCAGGTACATTCCTCACCGAAACCTGAGTGATTTCAATCTTCGAAGGAAGATTTCAATGTTTCCATGATTTTTAAATTATTCACGTTATGTTAGTCATTGATGGTCATGAATAGATTTGTAAAGACATATTCAGTTTGTTGTTTTTCTTTACATCAGGTACATTCCTCACCGAATCCTGAGTGATTTCAATGTTTCCATGATTTTTAAATTATTTAAGTTATGTTAATCATTGATGGTAATGAATAGATTTGTAAAGACATATTCAGTTTGTTGTTTTTCTCTAGATCAGGTACATTCCTCACCAAATCCTGAGTGTTTTCAATTTTTCTCTACATTGATAATATCATGAAAGTATCTGTTCTATGAAGTATTTGTTCTGTTCGATGAATCCCAAATTTCACTTAAGGCTCACTTAAGTATCATTGATGGTCATGTGCTTTTTGCACATTTTTCCAGTATGTTTGGATAGTGTTTAATGCCTTACGGCCAGTAACTTCCACTGGAATTTTATCATAACAATCAGAATTGATTCTATCGTGAGTTTGTTTGATCAACAACGACACAGAAACACCTTTTTCTTCTGGGATTTACGTCGCAGGTGCTTTCTTGAATTCCACCATGTTGTCTTTGCCAGCAAGCATACCCGCTAGGGGCCCTCCTCACAACTGGGAAATTTCCGCTAATTATATGACTGATCAGAAACTTCCAGACTTTGAGTGTTGCATTTGTGAGAAGGGTGGGGAGCAAAGTGCATCCGGGTCCTCGTCCCGCTTCCTGGGCAGAATTGTATAACAATTCTGGCAGAGTGATGCACACAATTACCTTGCTACATTAGTTTACAAAACTCATCCGAAATCAATCTGCGATTTCGCTAACCTTACACCCCCCACCCACATTTTTTCAAACTCGTTTTTTCAATAAAACAAAAAGCGCTAGCTAATTCGATTTCATCAAAAATTTGTTTAACGTTTTTTTTCTGAAATAACCAAACAGGTCTCTCCAGCTTCCAGCTGGGCCCCTATTGTCTAGGGAAACACCTATGGACTTGAAAAGTTCCCTCATGAAAACTTTTTACCAAAGCGTTACCAATGAATGCATAAGCTTCTCTTTCACTTTTTTTGCGTAGGAAGGGCGCTATCGACTTGAGAAACCTGAAATTTTAAAACAATTTTAAAATAATCAATATTAAAATAATCAAACAGGTCTCTCCAGCTTTCAGCTGGGCCCCTAGTATAATCACAAAAACTATCTTAGTACAATTGATTGAAAAAGATATGACTATATTAGGCAGTAATGTTTCTAAATTTAATACATGCACTATAGTTAAAATTACCACCTAATGTGACATATCTGAGTGTTTCTGAATAGTTTTTTTTAAATGCCTGGGTCCTGTTAACTATCCCCCACGTGGCACCAAGCAACTAATTAACAACCATTTAATGAGAGAATTCAACAGTTAACCATATACGAATTTTGTAAAGCGCAACATATTACCTCCTTTTGCAAAAGAGGCTAATGGCTAACAAAATCCTTTTTTCGTTGGGGACTCATCTTTCTTTGATAGATGATACTTGTTCGTATCATATTTCTACTCACACTTTTGACGGGGTAGTATGCATAAGAGTAGACCCAGCTGGGAGGCTTATCACTCAGTTCTGTTTGTAGGTTAAATGAGTGGAATAACTCCTTCTCCTCAGTGTCTATTGTCTTGCCGGGCTCAATCCCAAGTTTCTTCAAGCATCTTCCTGCAACACACGCATCAGATATGGTCATCAAACTGATCATCTTGGTACATAGGCGAAGATCAATATTCAGATTGAACGCCAACAATACAAGTTACATTAGACAACACCAGGAGTGGGTTCTCATGAAGAGAAATAGATCCACTTTACTAACTTAACTTTGGACTAACTTACTAACTTAAATTATTAGTAATTACACTTTACTAACTTAAATTATGAACATACGATTTAAATCATAATGACCGCCTGTTACACATTATCCCTCCCCTCCAAAACGCCGTTTAATGTTTAATGCTTGTCATCCAGAAATACTCGGCATAAAATAGAGTCAAAAGAGTACTTTCTTTAAGCGACTGATGTGTCCCGGCTACAAATGAAAACTGCACCCAAAAATTCACGTTTTGCATTTTCAACTGTGACCCAATTAATTTTTAATAAACGTTCTTACCGACAGCGTTATCTTCAGGCGCTTTCGAATTCAAATCGTCACACTTGAGGCTCTTGTTCTTCAGGCCATGGCCTAGCTTGGATAGTGTCTTTCTACTTATCACATAGCCTGCTCCTCCACTCGTGTAGCCACCTAGCGCCTGAATCAACTAATAATGATGGTACACTGAGTCATGATTTAGACCCTTTCAAAACTACGAACGAATTGCATCTGGTGTTTCCAATAATGTCTTGGGTATACAATACCTTGTCATCTATTAGCAGGCGACTAACAGTACCTCAAAAATTGAAATGATTTTTCACGTAATTCAAACGACTATTTCTTTAGTATCCGTAAAAAGCCCAAATATCAATCGGGTAATTAGCACACAGACGAGTAGAAAAACAACTGCATTTTAATCACCAACCTTGAACCTTTTGCCGAGGTAGTGGGGCTCATTTGGACTGAGCGTTGCCAAGAAAGCACGAAGGTTCTCTACGACTAAAAATGTGTCGTCATCTGCCTTCACAAACCAGTGATATTCGGACACATAGTTCTCGTATAAATACTGATACGTCAGAATAGTTTTAGACCAAAGATGAGGATATCCTTCTAGCATTCCAGGTAATTTTAAAGTTGGAAAACTATCGCTGGTTTCATCGCTGATAAATATTGTTTTGTCGCATCGTTTGGCCCATGTGTTTTTGATTGCAGTTGCTTTCGTTTCTACATTTTTTGTGCAAGTTTCCACGAAGCATAATAATTTTACAACTGAAAGATCTGCGGGAGGTTTTTGGTCGATAGATGAAGAGTTGAAATTCTTTGAAACAGCTCCTGGAAACAGAAAAGATCATCTATTTTCTGCTAACAGATGAATTGCCGCCTTAAGACACCAATCTGCCACAAGCTACCCTTCGCACTTGGAACTTGACGGATTAACAAACCTAGGAGCGATTCAAACCTATGTTTCCTCTTACAAATCATAAGGTCAAATATTTAATAATACTCATGCACAGGGGCGGATTGGGGGAGGGAGGGGATTTGACATACAAAACTGCAGCTTCCCGACTTTGAAGGCCAAAACACCACCCGAGTGTCTATCGAACGGGGATTGAAGGGACGGGGATTTTTACCCCCTCAACACTAAAAAGTTCAGCCCTTTGGTACTGTTTTTCGAAATTCATTTTTGGCTGACCGACCCTAATAAATTTACAAAAGGCGCCTTTTGACGCCAATATATACTAAATTTAAGGGGCACGCGGTACACCAAAAACAGGCATTTTTTGGAAAAACCTTCCAAAAAAAGCCCTAAAATGACGTAACATTAATTTGGTAGACCTAAAAACTCATCAAATTTTTAGAAAACTCCACTTCCCTCGATAAAATCCTAGATTCACACCTGCTCATCCATATAAATATACTTTTGCATACAATTAACAGCTCATATTTTTGAAAAAAAAATCTGATAAAATTTTAAAATTGTTTTTTTTTTCTAATTGAAAAAGGATTAAACTTGCGTCTTTATATCTCCTGGCCAAACCATACCAAAATCAATAACTCTAACTAAATTTTTATAAAAATTGACTAAAAAAGAAGCAGAACGCTTTTGCTGTAGACTTGTATTGTAATATGAATATGACGAATAAGAACTCTTTTCCAGTCTCTCTTTGATTTTTTCTGAGATTTTAAGTACGAAAGTCTATATGAAGAAGAAGAATTGAATTCAGATGAAAAAACTTTTGATTTGTGAGCATGAACCGTGACCAGACATTTCCGCCCCAAAAGCAGTAATTTCCAGAATTGACTGCTTTTGGGGCGCAAATGACTGGAAGCCTGAACAAGTGAAGAGATAATTACAGTTCTTGCATTACAAAAGTTTATAAACAACTTTATATGTTGTTTTCACGAGGGGGGTAGAAGACTGGACAAGACCCAAATAAAATTCGCCTCTTACCATTGGTATCTTTGGAGGGGTTAGCGAACAAGGAATCCACGAAGTACTTCTGCTGGAGTCCTCGACTGGAGTCTCTGGCGCCCACGTTGAGCACAGATGAGTTAGCTCGGTAGCCTAAAACTCAGATAGGTTTACAACAATACGCGGACACATCCATTGGCATGTGCAACTATTAGCATGCGGCAATAGTGTTTTCATCGTGGTTCATCCTTGTCTAACAGTATCTCAAACTTGAACACAGAATAATCTAGAGAAACTGCGACCACTGATTCACTCGCACTATTCCAAGCGGCGTGGACCGGAAGTTCATTACTAGTCATAGCCAAGTGTAGTGGTCATTTTTTTTGTTTTGGGGGGTATGTACTTTAACATTCGATTCCGATAAAAAATTCGTTCAGTGAATTCTATGAAACTTTTTAGGATTTGAAATTTTTTCAGAATCAGAACTGTGTTTGCAATTTTTAAAGACACAATTTTTGTAACTGATATTTCTAAGTCGATTGATATTTTAAGTGCTTGTGACATTGACCTTTAGAGGTGGAAGAAAAGAGAAAATTCTTACTCAGCCTGCTGGAGTAGAGTGAAGCTAAAATGAAGCCTCCTGCTATAGCCATCACCGTCATTCCCACAAGCTGGATAGAACTACTGCGTACAAACATTGTTTGTCTGTCCAAACAGGATCCGTTCTGCCCTGTCCGACTGTCAACAAGTTTAAAGCGCCTGCGCTACTTTATGAACCCCGTCGAATCATTGACACGCCAAACAGGCAACAAATTCGAGGTCAAATTGTTCGAGGTCAAATCTTCTACTCATAGTCAGGTATGAAATTTAAAGAGCTTTTCAGTAATAGAAAAACATAACAATTCTGTATCTGAAATTTAAAACGAATAATATAAACAGTCATATAGCTTTCAAGAGAAAATTCTAATTTAGCTACCTAATGATTGGTCGAAAAATCAACAAACTTAATCTGGCACTGAGTGGTGAAAAAAAAACATGTCTATACATCAAATTCTTTTATTACTGCTGAAAAAATGAAACTTGAGATGGGATTTTGAATGCTTGTTTTTTATACAATGACTTAAGGTGATTCAAAAAACAGCTCGCAGGGTAAAATTTAGTACAACATAAAAAACTAGGTTCTGTGCAAGTAGCACAGGTTCCTACGAGTAATAATTTTTTTTGTTCAAAATAGTTACAGTCTTTTTCTGCGTGTTAAGAGATAGACAATACTTAGCGTCAGTGATGTATCAAAAAAGACAAAGTTACATGGAAAAAATGTTCATGGCTTTAAAAAAACTACAATTAGTGTTGCAATTTATAAGAAAAAAAACATCTATTAATTTTTGGAAAGTTTTTTTGAAATTCGTGTGCGGGAAGAAAATGAACTTCAAATACTGCTTATTTAATCTAAAAATTCTTCTAATAGCTCAATAAGCTTTAAATTCTCGAGAGCAGATTGAAAAGCAAAAATTACAAACAGGTTTTTATCGACAATGAAAATACTTCTGTGAATATTTACTATGTCGTTCGAATCAAAACTATTAAGTATTTAATATGATTACCACTCGATCAATTTGGACAATTAATTGTGGCACCTGATTTTTCGTGGAAAAAGTTGCCAAATTTTTTAAACAATCATAAACACACGCTAAGACAAAGTTCCTCCCGACTTTCAATAGTCGGAGCAGTAAAATAGCATTTTTTGCCAGAATTAAAGAAGCGCAGTCATGAATTAAGTCGTTTTTGTCAATCTTAATTTCGATAATCAGCTCTAAATTTTCTATCTCTCTCTTTCTTTTTTTAGAGAATGAACAATTTATCACACAGCAAATTAAAATATAATTAAAATGTACGGTCATCTAAGAAACAACTGGCAGTTAAAAATAGTTTGAAACAACTGGAAATTTGAAGTAAACAAAAATAGTTTTAAAAATAGGTTTTTTTTTGCAATAACAATAGTCGAAACATTCGATACTACTTCAAAACAGCGACCTGCGCTTTTGCTTGTGCATCAAATGAAAGATACAATACGTGATGAAACTTGTTGCAAATAATTTCAGCTTGGCAGAAAAGGAAACGAAAAAAAAGATCTCATTATATATGCGTTACATTGTTCCACTTTCCGATAACAATTATTTCCTTTATTATTACTTTCCAATCAACTTTTGCCATGTCTCATCTAGTTTGCTGCCAGTTTTTACAGGTCTGACAAACTATTAGATTTTTACATTTGTAATACAAAGAAATGAATTGTTTTTCTTCTAATTAAAAATCGATAGAACTTAAGCTCCTTTCTGGAGCTATAGAATAAATTTTAAAATAAAAATAACAATCTGTTGAATCTTCATAGCAACATCTTGTAATTATTTCTTCTTAATTAATTTTGTGACTTAAGTGTAGGCGAAATTTAGATATATGTAAAACGATATAATGTTTCTCATTGTGAAAAGCTGTATAAGCCTACGATCATGAAGACAAATATTGAAGATAATTATTTTAACGACTGAAACAAAAAAGAGTGGACCGTTAGCATGGTGTTAATACCGCTAGTTAAAAATTCCTGCTCCAAAAGTTATGCGTTTTTCTGTTTTATATTGCTATTATTTGTAGATCAAAAACGCATACGTTAGCCTAAGATCTATGAAACACATTGTTTGATCCAAATTAATTGTCATCTCCATTGTTTCAATTTGTATATAACAATATTTTAGAATTGATTTTTAGCTATAAAACAGGGCTAAGCAGCCTTTAAGTCGAATTCAAATAAATAATACATGTAACCTTTAATTTTTCGATCCATAGCAGTACTTTTACATTACAAAATTTGATCAAACATTTCTCTCTAAAAGATTCTTAAGTTACTATTTGTATTAATGATTGATTGAAATATTAGCACTGAAAATAAAGGGAAAAGCTCGGCTAATTTTCGAAACATCATTTTAAACACGTTATTTCAATTTTAAACAAGTTATTTCATGAATCAAATCGGAGGGCGCAAAGTTAAGAATTTTCTAAGCAAGCTATTCCAGACGTGGAATTTTGAGATATTCTAAATTATTTCATGTAGCGAATAAGATAACATTTTACTTTTTTCTACTGAAGCCATCTAAGCGTTGAAGCTTCCAATATTTCAAGTTATCTCATAGTTTTCGACAAGTTCAAGAGCTTTTTAACAAGCTATTCTAGCACTGAAATTTTTAAACACTTCGAAGTCATATCATTGAGCAAACCAATTTTTGTTAGTTTTTCAACAATTTTTTTTTGAAATATTCCAAGTTATGTCATGCAGCGAATCGGATGGCAAAAAAAAGTTTAATTACTTATTTTGAAGCCATTCAAGCAATGAAACTTCAATTATTTCACTTCATAGACCAAAACTCAGGACGATAAGTTCAAGATGTTCTAGGCACGCTACTCCAGCTAAGAATCTCCAGTCAGGAAATATTTCGCCGTTCTTTTCTATCAAGTTCGCGAAAAGCTCAAAAATTTCTAAGCAAGCTACTTAAGCGATGAAACTTTGAAATATTTCAAGTTAATTTGCAGACCGAATCCATTCGCGAAAAATTAAGCTTTTCTAAGCAAACTTATAAAGCTAAGAATTATTCCAAACTATTTGATGAAGAAAATCGGTTCGCAAAAAAACTAAGTTTTTTTAAGCTATTCAAGATATGAAACATTTCAAGTTACTTCATAGACTGTCGGTTTGCGAACAGTTGAAATTTTCTAAGCAAATTACTCAAGCTAAAAAATTTGGACATACTCATTTTTTGTAGACCAAAACAGTTCAATAAAAATTTTATTTTTAGAAGAAAGCTTTTGAAGTTATAATTTTTCAAATAATCGAAGTTATCTTGAAAAAGACCGAATCGGTTCGCGAAGTTTTTCTAACCAAGCTATCCAAGCTACGAAACTTTGAAATATTTCAATTTATTTCATAAAACGAATCAGTTTGCGAAAAGCTTAAGTTTTTGTAAGCAAGCTATTCAAGCTAAAAAAAACTTCTTAGACCGTCAAGTTGTCTATAAAATATGTCAAATTGTTTCACAGAGCAACTCGACTTGCTGGAAATTTCAGTTTTATAAGCAAGCTATTGAGGCAACGAAACTTTGAACTATTTCAAGTTTTAACAACTCATAATTTTTCCAGTTTTCATAATTTTTTTCAAACTGATTCATAGTCCCAATCGTATTGCGAAAAGCTTAAGTTTTACAAGGCAAGCTATTAAAATTCTGAAACTTTGAAATATTTCGAGTAAATTCAAAGATCAAGTCGGTTTGGGAAAAGTTTGCTTACAAATAGTTGGCGAATGTTTTGCTAAAAAAAAACCAATTTTTTGCAAAACGATTCGGTCAATGAAATAGCTTGAAAAATTCCATAGTTTTTCTGAGCACTCTATTCATGCGATGAAACTTCGAAAAATTTCGATTGTTTCATGCAGCAAACCCACTGGCGAGAAGTTTCAGTTTTTCTAAGCAAGCTAATCAGGCGAAGAAAGTTTGCGTTATTTCAAATTTCCATAAACCAAATCGGTTCGCGAACAGTTGAAATTTTTGTGAGCAAGCTCTTCGAGCAAAAAACTTCATAGATTGTCAAGTTATCAATGAAATATGACAAATTGTTTCTTAGAGCAATTCGACTGGCGAGAAGTTTCAGTTTTTCTAAGCAAGCTATTGAGTCTCTGAAACTTTGAAAAATTTCAAGTTTTCAGAGCAAATCGTTTGGCGACAAGTGTTTCTAAGCAAGCTCTGCAAGCAATGAAACATTGAAATATTTCACAATATTTCATAGCCCAATTCGGTTTGCAAAAAGTTAGTTTTCCTAGCAAGGAAGTTATCAATTTAGGTTAGTTCGTTTCAGAAGAAAATCAATCTGAAAAGGCAAAAATTCGGAAAAAATGGACAAATACCGTCTAGCCTTGAAAATGAATTGAGTTCATCTTGTCTGGTGAATTGAATTTTTGTCAAAAATTTTTTCTTGAACATACGTAAGAAAATTCGAAAGTTCTAGAATATTCTTGGCCTTCTCTTGAACGTTAAGCCTAAAGAATTTTTTAAACGCTGCGTTCGACAAAGCTAAAACTGCTTTCAGTTAAACATTGCGTCCATAGCTCATTCCGACTTTCATTTAATATATAAGAAGATTGGCCACTATCAACAAAATTGTGAGCTTCATCAACAGCTTAAACGTTAAAGAAACAATTTGTGTATCTGGAGACATATATGAGATGATGCAAAAACAAGAACACCAACAAATTGCTGCTAATTAAAATAAAAAAAATATATTGCTTCGATACTTAAAATAGACGCGAAGCGCAGCTTTGCACCACTTGCGATACAAAAATAATTTACTGTTTTCGGGTAATTCTTTTCAATAATTATATCAGATACTTCAAATTTTAAAACAACTCTCGAAAATTCTGTGCAAGTACAACGATGCTGACAAAAACAGACAGACAACGATATTCTGACGATTGAATTTTTTAAAGCAGGAAAGTGTTACAGTGCTAAAATCAGGACCTCGCCGGGCTCGAACAAAAAGTCTTTGTCGTTCAAAGCATGAGCGCTATCTCTGCACCGAAGTTACAGAATCAGACGTTCAGTTTAACTCATTGGAAATTAGATCATATGAAGCAGTGATTTTGTTGAGCACAAGGTTCAGGATACTATTCCGATTTGATAACGCGAGCTATGAAAGTGTTTCAACTAAAAAGATTTGAGCAGTCATATTTAGATTTGCTATCTATGGGAATACTCTGACAGCCCTACAAAAGTTGAATATAGCCAACTGACAGTAGAAAAAGAAATGAACGCTAAGGAACAGAAAAAAAACTGACTTGTTTTTTTAAATCTCAGCCTTCAATTTTC